CAGAGAGCTACATGGAGGGTTCAGTCTCCAAGTTGCTATAGATTTTGCGAAAAGGATAGGACTGGAGAATGTAACCCAAGGATCAGAAGAGGACCACAATAGATCTGGAAAGGTCCCAGTGGATCAGGCCGATAGCCTGATACCCACCTCGAAGAATCTAATCTAATCTAATAAAGTTACCATGTATGATAGTTACACACATTTTTATATAAACAGCAATATTTGAATCAGCCGAACAAAAGAATATGAACTCCACTAGCCACTCCTAATAGAAGCCCTAGTGAAACAAGGCCTTATATAGAAACTTTCGCCAATATATACAAAGAAGCCAAGGATAAAACAACTCCAGAGTTCCCAACTGGCAAAGGAGACAGAAGAGACATCACAGGGAGACGCGATATCCCCAAAGCTGTTCACAGCAACACTAGAAGAAATCTTCCGTCAACTGGACTGGACCAACAAAGGATTAAAAATAGATGGAGAATATCTCAACCATCTAAGATTCGCTGATGATATAGTCCTAAATTAATTCAATTATATACAAATCTAGAATGCCCCTTTATCTAAAGAAGAGGACATTTTTTGACCAATGTGTATTATTACCAGTGACGTATACTACCTATGCATGCGAAACCTGGCCACTTAAAACGGATATCATAAGGAAACTGCAGGTAGGACAACACTCAATGGAACGAAATTTGCTGGGAATAACCAAGAGAGATCGTAAAAGAATATTTTAATATAAAATTGTGTGGGAGGGCTAACAAAGAGAATATGTTAATGAGGCTAAATTTAAGAGAGAATTACAACCATAATTGGAAATGGTTGAATAAGCTGAAAATGATGATGATGATGTTGATTTGAACTTTATATTGGATCTTTATTTATTGCTAATCTAATGCAAGTATTCTTTATTTGTTGCTAATCTATATAATTTAGATTTGAGTACAAAGAAGTATAATAATTAGTCGTCATAATAATTAAACTCTATACTTCATTTTTTTCTATTAGATAGATCGAATCAAAGCATTATTACCTTTCTTCAATGTTGTCAAAAACAAAGGGGATTAACCCAGGGCAAAACAGGTTTGTCTCGATGTATTAAAAATCGTTTAATACGATAAAGTATAGAAGCTGCATTAAAAAATGATAAAATAAAAAAGAAGTAGTATGTTGACCTGCACCAAGTTGCGTAAAGTAATTCAGGAGTAATTATTACATATTTATACAATGCAAGGCTGTAGAGCTAAATAAGTTCACTACAGTTTAGTTATAAACATATTTGAATTGACATTGTTTTGTAGGAATGTAAGAAATAGTTACATAGTAAATTTTATATAATTATATTCTATTAAATATTCAAGTAAGATGTCTTGTAATAAGTAATATACAGGGTGGTCCGAATGGTATTCCGGAAACATATTCTACAGATAATAATAAGTAAAAAAGTTCGTATAAATGTATGTCCTAAAATGCTTAGTTTCGGAGATACAGAGTGTTGAAGTTTTATTTTTATTTCGATATTTTTCAAATAATTTCTGAAGTAACGTCAATATTTGGATAAAAATTAGTATCTCGGAGTTTTTTGACATTAAAAATGATTGATATCAGATGATTTTGATGTCAAAATGACTCCTACTTGTAGAGGGCGCCACCTCCATATTTTTAACTGGTTTAAAAAATTATAACTTTTCGTCCGTACCTGTATAAAAGAACTGAGTAAAAAAATATACATTACGACGTTTTTTTACGTAAAAAAGTCTCTTGGTAAAAATCGCTATAAGTAATGGTTCTCGAGATATTTGGAATCAAAATTACCAATACCTGTCATCATTGGCATAAATTAAACATGTTGACTAAATAGTTATTAGACTGAAATCATAAATTTGAAATGTTTTTGTATCAAAAGTTCAAAAGAAACTGATAATCATCATTATTTCGAAGAAAATTTATTATTAATTTAAAAAAGTCAATATATAACTAGAACAATCTACTTAACATGTTTATTTTTTGTCAATAATGACATGTATTAATTAATTTCATTCTAAACATCTTGAGAACAGTTACTCGTAGCGTTTTTTACTAAGAGACATTTTTTACGTAAAAAATCACGGAAATGTATATTTATTCATTCAGTACTTATAACTCTTCAAAACAGCTAAAATACATGTAGGTGGCGTCCCCTACGAATAGGAGTGATGTCAAAAGACTGTCAGGCACCAATTTTCATCCAAAAAATATTGGCGTTATTTCAGAAATTATTTGGAAACAATAGAAATAAGAATGAAACTTCTACACCCTGTATCTCCGAAACCAAGCATTTTAGGACATACATTTATAGGAACTATTTTTATCTGCAGAATACGCTGCTAAATTTTCCGGAATATAGTTAGGACCACCCTGTAGAGTAAATAAAAACAGCAGGTTTAGTCTTCACTGACTAAGTTAAAAACACTAATAAATTTAGCGAAGACGCAGTCAACAATCACCACATAATAAAACTACTTTTCAATTTATCAAGCTTTCGAGAGAAAAGAGAGAGCAACTTATTCCCATCATCAGGACAGTTTCTAAAATATATGAAAAAAACGCATTAAAATGTTGAATTTGTCTCGGAATTTGTATAAAAACAAACTTACGATGAGTTAATTAACAAAACAACATCCTTTGCACATTACAGCCTTACAAATTAACATCATTTTATAAAAATATTCAAAATTCAAAATCTATATCTAAATATTTTTTAACAAATTACTCAAAAGAAATTGCTACATTGTTGTTTCGATCTCGATCGACAGTAACTCTTTACTGTCGATTACTTAGTTTACCTAGTACGTTATGCTGTACCAAAATGCACTAAACATTTTAAAACTTTTCTTATCAAAAGATTTTTTATGTTGACATGTACTTCTGTTTCTTGCATTTTTTTAATGTTCCGCCACAAAATTTTGTTGGCAAACTTAAAAACATAAAAACTCTTTTATAGTTATTCCTTCAATCAACGATACTAGTCTTGTATTTTCTTTGGTGTCGTATAAGTTGAGTCTTCTTACAGTGCCATACTCTATATAGAGCGTCGGCTACCTCTCGCATGTACTTGTGATTGTGTTTCACAAGCACACGGGACCTACAGTTTATTGCCGAAATGCCGAATCCGAACGGCACTATTTGAGACGCTGTACAAGGCAAATATACTCAAGGTGGTTTGCCATTGCCTTCCTTGAGGTGGCGCACAGTGGGGTATTTGACACCGACAGTTGATCCATTTTTTTTTATGTAGACCTTATATAAATTATTGGTATTTTCAATTAAAGAGGAAATAATATGAACAAAATAAAGGATAATTCGTCGATTCTAAAAAAAGGATGAAAAATCATTATTCCAGTGGTTCCACGATCAATGCCACTAATGCCAGTAGTAATATTGCAACTAATACTACTAATGCTACGACTGATCCGCGACCAATGCCCATACCACTAAAGCCGCTACTAATGCCAAATTGTGCTATACTGCTAATGACACTAATGCGATCGCTTCGTACACAACAATGCCATCGCGGTTTACACCTCGCATTAGTATATCACTGATTTGCAAATTAGAGGAATGTTTTTCTTATTTTATCAGCAAAGTCGCAAAAAGTCGCAGTATTTTATTTTACTGTATGAAAGCCCAATGTTTACTAAGTAAAACATATATAGACAATATGCTGAATTCTTCGAAATGCGCAACTAAATCTCTAAGTATAATAAAAATGTCACAAATTTAATCAAATTTTCTGAACGCCTAACTTTTAGTTGCAAAGAAAATCGTTAGTATAGAGAATATCAAAATAAATAATATGTTTTTGTAGAATACATACCTGCAGCTTGCTGAGCCATTTTCAATCAAAACAATAATATAAAAAAAAGGAGCAGAAGAACAACAACATTTTATAATTTTAAACATAAAATTTAGCCATTTACCTCTTATCTGTGAAAAGTAACAACCATAGTAACAACTTTGACGTTTCGTTGAAACAGATGAATGCAGCTAAACACACCCATAGCAACGCCATTCATTGCAGACATGATTTAACTTATCATTTATCTTTTTTTGGGAAATCTTAAACACATTTGCTTTTTCGAATTTCGATCACCTTTTTCATGCTAATACTCCACCGTGTGGCGGCTGGTTGGCCGCTCTATTTAGATAAATAAATATTTTTATTTAAACAAATAAAGCGACAGTACTGGCTGGGGATCGAACCCAGTACCTTCCGCCCCGCAGTTCGACACACTGGAGCTACGGCCGGCCACCATAATTTGAATAATGTACATAAATTATTTCATTCACTCTATAATAAAATTTGTCTAAGGCCATTAATTTGGAGGAAAATTAGTTAGGAAATTTTGTCTATTTTTATTTTGTATCGAATTTTTGCATTATTTGTAAAAATGTAGTTTCGGAGTTATAGCAAAAAACTAGCTAAAATACATTTTTTATATTTCTTGCATTTTTTAATGTTTAACGGACAATCCGCCGTCACAAAATGTTGTTGCCAAACTTCAGATTCGGATTCACCGCCCCAACAAACATACGAGTATGAAATAAATTAGGGCCCCCCCAAAAATACATTTTGACTTTTCACTAGATTATACCTTTTCACAGTTAAATAAATCATTGTTAATATTTTTTAAATACTACTCTTGTATTTTCTTTGGTGTTCAATAATCTACATAAATTATTTCGTCCATTGTATAATAAAAATTGTCCACTTTTATTCTGTATAGAATTTTGGCATTATTTCTGAAAAATTGTATTTTTGGAGTTATAGCAAAAAACTAGCTATAATTAATTTTTTATGTTTTTTGCATTTTTTTAATGTTCTGTCACATAAACTATTTCATACACTGTATAATAAAAATTGTTCATTCCTTTGCAATATGCTTATGCAACGAACTTTAAATTGTTAGTAAATAACTAATTATTAATTAATTACCAGCATTCGTGCTGACATATCTATTAACGTTATGAAGACAAAATAATTAATGTGTGTCTGCAGATACATTATTATAATTAAAAACCAGTTGTTAAAAAAAATAAAATTGTGTTAAACTTTAGTAATGAGTATTGTGAAAAAAACTGTTTTATTATTTTTAGCGATAGCGTCAATTAGCCCTATTAGAGGAAGACAAAAACTGCGTGAGTAATTTCTAATTAAGGCATTTATCTATCTTGGTACGTGGTGTCATAAATAGTTATAAATTACTAAATATATTTAGTGTTAATTAATAAATTAAATATAATAGACGATAGATAGACAAATAATAGAAAATATCATTAAGTAAAAACATAGCTGTCCAGTTAAATGAGTCACCGACGGTTATTATTAAAATTTCAATTACCTATTTATTATTGTTGTCCATCAACAGAAAGTTTAAAAATTAGGTCCCCATGATTATGCTTAAGAGTCCATATCACTAGTTCGAAAAAGTAGCAATTAAGCCCACGGCTACACAGAAAGCATTTTTTGCGTTTTTAGCGTAAAGCGTCTTTAGCGACTAAAATAAAATAACAGGATTATATAGGAGTGACCACACAAAAAGCATGTAGCGTTCGGCGTGTCTCGCAAAAAACGCAAATGAAAACAAATCAGCTTGTTTTCTGTAGCGTCTTTAGCGTTTTCTAAGACGAGACCCCGTCATAGGCGGACGTTATATTTAATAATACAATAAAAATAAATTAAATAGTATGCATTTTTTTCATTTTAGGATATTCTCTAAAAATATTTTTATAAAGAACATCCAACAAGTTTAGGAAGATTTTATTAAATCCAAAAATTTGAAAGAAATGTTTGGAAAAGTGTAGTTTGAAATGTTGAAAAAGTAATAAATTAAAGGAATATTTTCTTACGCGTAAAAAATAGTTTTTTATGCGTAAAAAGTGTTTTTTTCTGCGTAAAAAAGGGTTTTAACGTTTTTGACGCATAAAAAATACTTTTTTACGTGTAACAAATAGTTTTCTACAAGTAACAAATAGTTTTATACGCGTAAAAAATAGTTTTTTACGTGTAACAGTTTTATTCGCGTAAAATAATAAAACTAGTTTTTTACGTGTAACAAATGTTTTTTTACACGTAATAATTTGATTCACTTTTACAAAATTTGTATTAAATATCAATATTTTTGATAAACACGTGGACTGCTCACTAAGTATGTCTAAGCCATTAACACGTTTCGTTACAACGAGCTCGTGTGTCAGGGCCGACTCACTAGCTCGTATGTCACAGCCTTCAATTTTTACTCCCAGCCCGCGTAAAGAAGTTTCATTCCATAATGTTTCATAAATCATGTCCTAAAATTGCATTAGCAACTAGAAATATTTACTATTCTATTATATAATTATAATTATTTATTATATTATATTGTAATTATAACAAGTACTAACCACAACACTACAACATAAAAAAACTATACACATATAAATAATATAAACTAAAATTCGTAAAATAAATGACAAATAATAATTATTATTTTTACACACACCACTGGCACTAGTAGTAGATTGTGTTTGTCTCCAAATATATGCCCCGGCCCGTCCACAATTCAATCCCAGCATCTTTTATCTTCGCCTTTTCAACGCGAACGGCGCCGATCTCGCCTATCTCTTTATCACAAGATTGATTGTTGGACAGGCCGGGAATCCACGAGCTTGCGACGTTACTAATTGACATCTTGATAGAAACTGCAGACCTGCCGCGTCTTTTGCGTGATTTTAATGGACACAAATCGAAAAAAGCGCTTAAAACGGTAAAATCGCAAAAAGCGCTTGAGACGCAAAAACGCAAAACGCTAAAAACGCTTTCTATGTGGCCGTGGGCTAAAGGCAGATTTCTGAAATTAATATAAATATTTCCTTCGGCCACACACCCGCTTTACCCGACCCCTGAGAGCAATCTGAAAGTACAGCCAAAGGCTGTACCAAAGATTACAGTGCAGTGCATTCAGAACCTCGAAATTAGTAGATTAAATTAGTGGTTTCAATTAGCGTAGAAGTTTGTTCCTTTAATTTCAATGTAAGCAGTCAGAACATCGAAGTTAGTGGTAGTAGAAAAAGTTATCACACTTTTAACTTTCTTCACTAAATATACTTAAAAATTTGCGAGTAGTGTCATTTTGGCCTTTGATTAATTATCATCAGTCAAAAGAAATTGTGGTTAGAAATGAAAAGTTTATTGTTTTATAAGCTAATTATTTGGTTTTCTCTAGGGATACAACTGACTACAGCAAGCTATTGCTAGGATATTCTATTAATTTCGAGGTCTGAATGAAGCTTTAATTTGTGTAGAAGATGCAATTTTATATATACAGGGTGGTCCGAATCGAATCGGGAAAATTCGTAACATATTCTGGACAAATAAAAGTAAAAAAGTTCGTATAAATGTATATCCTAAAATGCTTGGTCTGGGAGATACGGGGCGTAGAAATTTAATTTTTAATTCGGTTTATTCCAAATAATTTCTGAACTAACGTCGATATTTGGGTGACAATTAGTGTTTGGGTGTTTTTTGATATGAGAAATTCGATTTCGATGTCAGTATGTATCCTATTTGTAGCGGGAGTCACCTACATGCTTTTTAACTATTATGAAGAGTAATAAGTAATAACTTTTTGTTTGTACCTGTATTTTACTACCGAGAGAAAAAAATATACATTCTCGTCGTTTTCTGCGTAAAAAAGATATTTTGGTAAAAATCGCTATGGACAACCCTTCTCAAGATATTTGGAATCTAAAAAATCAATACATACCATCATTGACCAAAATTAAACATGTAGACTAGATAGTAAATAGAGTGAAATAACAAATTTGGAAATGTTGTTGCGCCAAATGTTTAAAAGAAAATGTTTTATCGTAATTTTTTTCTAGAAAATGTTATAATTAATTTAAAAAAGTGAAAAGTTCCCAAATTTACCATTTCAATCTATCTAGTCGGATCACCCTGTATGTCTTAATCACTAGAAAGGAATGGATTACATAGACATTCAAAATTTTTAATACATGGTTAGCCTTAAATAAGTGCAAATATTTTCAGTGGTAGTATATTTCGACCCCAGAAATACAATTTTTCGCGAAAAATTCTTTTTCAAAATTAGTAATTTTAAAAAAAAATTGAAAATTTTCTTAGTTTTTACTTAAAAAACATTACAGTAACAACAGGTAGTAGATTAAATTTAACATAGGTAACCACAGGTAGTAGATTAAATTTACAAGAAAGAAAACCCAGAAATGATCGAGCGGTTCTCAAAATTTAAGCAAAAAACATTTTTTAGATATTTTCAAAATAAAATAACTCGGTTAATTTGGACTTATTTGAAAAACGGTAAAAAGAAAATATTTTTTTTAACGAGATCTACCAACCCTGAAAATATTTACCCAAATATGACCTACAGTAGACAGTTTCTTAATGATACAATATGATTGAAAAAACTGCGTCAGCAATGGCTATAAAACACAGATCACTGTCAACTTAAATGTTTTATATATAAAATTATGAGGAATCCCCCCCCCAAATGATGTTCATGTCCAATATATTTCGATCATACGATATTTTTTCTTTAATAAACAGCTTCATTCTTAAAAATCTGCTCCAAATCGGATCCAAATTTGAAGAAATGCTTCATCGAATCTGTAGAACACTTAAAACCTTACTTGGCCAAAGGTATTCCAGAGTTCGACATCCCGCCATGTGAACCGTTGGAGATTCCAGAAGTTGTCATCGATCAAGGAACAGGCCCGGTGTCAGTTTATTCGTGCTACAAAAACGTCAAAGTGTATGGACCGTCCCAGTTTGAAATTAAAAATATAAGGTACGTTATTTTATAAAATATTCTGAAATTGGTGGATCTGTAGGTCCTATAAAAAATATAAGAATTCCGTTTAAATTAGGTACAGGGTGTCCCCTATTTTCGTGTATTTTACAGGGTTTCTTCTTTATGCTTGGAGGTATCAAGATGCGAATTTAACATCAGTGTGTTACTTTTAATGACTGAAATTAAAAATGTTACACACAGATTTGTCCTAGCCCTCTTAGTTCTTGACATACTCGGCAAATTCGAAATTGTTACAATTTCCGACTTACCTCGTATCTCGGTTATCTTATTATCGAAAAAGTGAAATCTGACTGCTGATTTCACTTTGCACGAGGTTTTGCATGTAAAATCTAGTGGCGTAACTAGTTTTTTACTGGCAGCTGTCATTCTTGAAATATGACCCAATTTTTTTTAAAACGATATACCCTGTATATTATATTTATGTTATTTGTCTTGTTATGAACTTTCTAAAAATATAAAACCGGGTGCGTCTCAAAAGTGGGTCACCCCCTATAACTTTTTTATTTTTTCAGATAAAAAAAACTAGTAGTGGTAGGTTTGGTAGTAAAAACTAAAAGTAAACACTAGTATTGGTGCGTTATTATTATTCAATTGTTTTCGGTCACTTTCTGTTTCACCGGAAATGACTACAACTTTTGATTTTTAAATGGTACCTTCGATATTTTTTTACTTTATTTGATAGAAAATGACACTCTGAATCGAATGACATATCATATGTCAACTTTTGACATATTCGCTCAAAAACAAATTGTATTTTAAATTTCAATCTAGAGTGCAATGGCTGTGTTAAAAACACTAAAAAACACTAATTTTTAATGAAGAAGCCTTGGAAAAATAGATTTGATCGTCTAATGTTTCTAGTGTCTTGTCCTGGCCGGTTAAAAGATACCCATATCGGATTTTTAATTATATCTCAATTTTTTTCAAATGGAACGAGGGTGACTTATTAGCATAATAGGAAAAAGCATTTTTTTACAAATAATTTGATACCACACACTTGGTATTTCGAGTCAAATTGTCGTTATGAACCGCATGTTATAATTTCAAATTAAAAATATGCGAAAATGTCAAAAGTTGACATATGATATTTGTCATTCTATTCAGAGTGTCATTTTCTATCGAATAAAGTGAAAACATACCGAGGGTGCCATTTAAAAATCAAAAGTTGTAGTCATTTCCGGTTAAATCGGAAGGGACCGAAAACAATTGAATATGTCAATCAATCCTAATTTATGTCATATATTACCAAATGAAATCTCGTTGTTTTATCTGAAAAAAATAAAAAAGTTATAGGGGTGAGCCACTTTTGAGATGCACCCGGTATAGTCCATACTTACTTTCATATACAAAGTAAAAAATCATCACTTAACTAATGTCGATATTTGGATGAAAATGTATCTGGGTGTTTTTGACATCAAAAATTTGATTTCGATCAAAATAACTCCTACTTCTTTCGGTCAAAATGAATCCTACTTCTAGGGTGCACCACCTACATGTCTGGCCGCAACTGGTATCTGACTATCCAGTCGACAAAAATTTTATTAGTGATTCTCTGGTATTGACTACTGAAAAAAATTCTACACACTGTATCTCCGAAACGAAGCATTTTAGGATATAAATTAATACGAACATTTTTACTTATTTTTATCTGCATTTTTATCCCTGTATAATATTTTTAGGATAGACATTGATAAAGGCAAGTTAAAGATCAAACTGTGGTTACCCCGACTGAACGTTGTGACGAATTATAGCATGAACGGTCAGATTTTAATGATGCCAATTAAAGGATCGGGTTTAAGCACAGGGAATTATACAGAAATTGAGGCTATTTTGAGCATGAAAGCAAAGAATATCGAAAAAGACGACGAAATATATTACAATATTCAGGACTGTTCAGTGGATTTCAAAATCGGACATGCACAACTTAATTTTGAAAACTTATTCGATGGCAACAAAGAGTTGGGTAAGTATTTAAGACACCCTTAATGTGCACATGGGTTCGGCAATAGTGCGTCGGACATCTGTAGCTCCTAGAAAAAACTTGGGAATTTTGTTTCAGTGCAAACCTAAAGTGTGTACTAGGGTATATTTCAGGAAAATATTTTAACTTCTACAGGGTGACCAAAAAAAGTGTGAGTGGATCGGGATGATTTTTTTAAAATGGAACCCCCTGTATATTATTGCATTTTTGGCTTCCTTTCTGATCACTTTACATAATCCTAAAATATGAGTAAATAAATTTCAGTAGTTTCAGAGATATTAATAAATAAATAATAAAATATTTTCAGCCATTCTTCAAATACAAAAACTATCCTGAAATCAAAACTATATTAGGTATTTACTTTAGATGGTCTGGACTTATTCGCTGTAAATATCGGAATCTTAAATCATACAGGGTGTTCAAAATTCTACGACAAACTTTCTAAAATATAAAATAATTTTTCTTAATTTTTTTAAATGGTTCACCCTGTATATGATTTGTTTAATAGATGGAGAATTAATAAATGTATCTAGAGTTTGTATCTAGTGACCTATAACTACCAGAAATTTTCAGTTTTTTCATATAACATTTTCGGGGCTATATTAACCAACATTTCTATGTACGACAGTCCAACCAAATAGACAACCCAACGGTATTCATAGTTAGAACAGGACAGAAAATTGATTTTTGAAATCACTTTAACTTAACGTTTTCGACTTTCCTTCGTATTTCCAAACACAGTATACAGGGTGGTCCGAACTGTATTCCGGAAACTTCGGCAGCATATTCTGCAGACAAAAATAAGTAAAAAAGTTCGTATAAATGTATGTCCTAAAATGCTTAGTTTCGGAGATACAGGGTGTAGAAGTTTCATTTTTATTTCGATTTTTTCCAAATAATTTCTGAAGTAACGTCAATATTTGGATGAAAATTGGTGTCTGGGAGTTTTTTGACATGAGAAATTTGATTTTGATGTTGATATTGTTACGTTTTTCGTCGGTTCCGTGTGGATAGAAAGTCACAATTTATTTAAACACTATTTATTTAACACTAATTAACAAAAACAATAACGATAAAAGACTTAAAGAACTATTTACAAACGATTTATAACTAAGAATTTATTTTGAATTTTAGCGCGTCAACTGCACTCGATTTATAACTGCCCTCTCTAGGCCACAGCCGCCAGCTTTTATACCTACAGTTAAAGTTTACTAGAATAGTCCATAGATCGTTAGGTGCATAGAGAAGGTTTCGAATGTTCTCGTATGTACTACTCCATTCCAGTGTGACTCGATCCTTCTCGAATCTTCGAATGAATCGTTACGGTGTCTATGCGATGTTAAGGTCATCCGAGGGCGGGCCATATTGTTAGATTAGGTCGAGTCCACACCGGTCCGCAACAATATGACTCCTACTAGTAGAGAGCGCCCCCTGCATATTTTTTAACTGCTTTGAAGACTTTTTGTCCGTACCTGTATAAAACTACTGAGGAAAAAAATATACATTTATGACGTTTCTTGCGTAAAAAAGGTCTCTTGGTAAAAATCGCTACTAGTAATGGTTTTTGAGATATTTGGAATTGACATAAATTAAACATGCATGTTTACTAAATAGTTATTAGACTGAAATCATAAATTTGAAATGTTTTTGTGCCAAAGGTTCAACAGAAACTGTTTTATCATCATTTTTTACAGAAAAATGTATGATTAATTAAAAAAAATAAAAATATATCCCAAATTTATTAGTTCAGTGAAATAACTATCTACTCAGCAACGCGCTTATTTTTCGTTAATAATGACATGTATTGACTATTTCCATTCTAAATATCTTAAGAACGGTTGCTAGTAGCGATTTTTACAAAGATATATTTTTTACGTAAAAAGTTACAAAGGTGTACATTCTTTCCCTCGGTAGTTTTATACAGGTACGGACAAAAAGTTATTACGCTTCAAAACAGTTAAAACACATATGTAGGAACTACTAGTAGGAGTCTACTAATATGTATTGACATCAAAATCAATTTTTTCATGTCAAAAAACTCCTAGACACCAATTTTGATCTAAATATTGACGTTACTTCAAAAATTATTTGGAAAAAATCCAAATAAAAATGAAATTTCTACACCCTGTATCTCTGAAACTAAGCATTTTAGGACATAAATTTATACGAACTTTTTTACTTATTTTTATCTGCAGAATATGCTGCCGAAGTTTCCGGAATACAGTTCGGACCACCCTGTATTTAAACAATAACATCTCGTATTGTGACAAGAAAAATTAAATAATTTATACATGGGTATAATAACTCAATGAAAACTGGGAAAGTTAGCAATCAATGAGTGATTATTGATTTTTTTTTATTACTTGTTATTAAAAATAATTTGTTATCCATCATAAAATTAAGATTTATTTTTATTTTAAAATGTGTAATAAAAATATCCAATATAATATATTTTAAGTTGCTTATTAAAGTTCATAAACAAAGCAAATAAAAAGTTATTTTTGACAGTTCTCAGATTTAAAAATTTCCAAAACTAATGGGTCTTTAAAAGATACGTTTATGTGAAGGTAAGTAATAATTAAAGTGCATTAAACATCGAATGTATCATCTCTGTTGCACTGACACCAATTATAAAGCATAATTTTATGATTATTACACGGATATAAATATTTTATTTTAAATGGATAATTTTCAATAACTAATACCTGTATATAATTTGTCTAATTATAAAGAGATTATTCTTTTATAATAATAAATTAGACTTGGCAAATTGAATCTTATGATGTTTATATGAGCATTGAGCGCACATGAGCAAATTTTACTAAGCAATTTCTCCACTTTATATATTTTTAGCTGCACCTTTTGTTCAATGAATTCCATTAGTATTTAAACTTAGCTTAACTACTTACTAAACTTAAAATATTATATTAAATATTATTATTATTACTTATTTCCGATTGTAACATTACAATTCTTTTCTAATAATTTGTATTATATATGTATTATCGTTGATTGAAAGAATTGGGAAGATATGCAACCTAATGGACAAATTCGTGAAAAGGCTGATTAATTTCCCCTTACGTCTCAAGTGCTGTAAGGTGGAGCCTCCACTTGTTCTGCGACCAACGCAACACTCATTTTCTCTAATTCGGCTAGCGAAGACATATCAAAGACGGTGTGGAACTGAAAGCGACAATGTTGCCATATTAAAATGTGTAATATCTGTAGGTAATACGTTTGACAATCTTTGGATAAAAAAAACGAGTTTATGTATTGAAAATTTATTCGTGTTAAACAACAAAAATAAAAATTCATTTATAGGTACTGAATATTTCGAAAAAAAGTCGTTTAGTTGGCTTAGAAATGACAACTATTGATATTAACCATAATATTTTACATATGAAATAATAGCGATCTTCATTTCCAAGCCAAGCCCGACGCCGTTCTTTGTTTAATAGTATATTATATTAAATTATTTAATGGTAGAAAATCCGTATTATTAACGTACTGTACCCAAAATCCGTAAATCTACGGATTAATCCGTAGTTCTGGAAACACTGACTCGGCAACCACCCACTCTGTCAACTGAAAGCAGAACTACGGTACAGTATTCTTTATCTGTTGCGCTGTAAACGACTATCAGCGCGCAGCGGCGCAGAGCTAAACTAAATCTCGGACAGGTTGACTAGCGGCAATCGCATCCCCAGCTACATCTTGGACAGGTTTTGTGCCACAAAATAGCCCATCAGGTTGGGCATCTTCTTATATCTTCAATCAACAGTATTATTTTAATTTATTCTTTAAATTTTTAATTAATTATATTTCCGGTGATATGCTCTTAATTATATTTATCGTACAATTTTAATTCTGATAAGCAGATAGTATACTTCGTAAATGATATTAGAGATTAGTCAACCTCCATATAGTTAGGATGTTTCAAAAGCGGAAGTAGGATTTAAATCGTAATCTAGATAACAACAAAAAACAAAAAAGATATATGTAAAAAAAGAAAGAAAATTGCGAGAAAGAAACGTATTGTTACGTTTTTCGTCGGTTCCGTCTGGATAAAAAGTCTAATTTATTTAAACACAATTTATTTTACACTAAGTAACAATACAATAACGACAACACAATTAAAAAGTCTATTTTTATATTATATATATATATATTATTTTATATTTACAAACTTATTTACAAATATTTATCTAAAACGGATTTATTTGAATTTATTTTAAAAGGCGCGAGCACGAGACCAACTCTGATTGTTTCTGTCTCTTTTTTGCACAAGCGTCGGTTTATATATGAGAGAAACAAACAGTCTAAATTTTACTCGTCTTTTTTATCTTTTCGTCGTCGCGTGTTCTCTGTCTTTCTGGCGTATTCCACTGGTGCCCGAATGGGGGCGGGGCATATTAGTGATGGGCTGAATCCGCAACAGTATAGAGAATAATATATAACTCTAGTATCGTAGAATTCACATTTAGGATACTTGAAAATTTTATGAGAACGAAAAAGAATTAGAAGATAAAAAATTATTTGAAGATATGATTTTAGGTGATGTAATGAACATGTTTCTCAACGATAACTGGAAAACAGTTACCAACGAGGTAAAGCCTATTTTAGAGGACAGACTTGCTGAAATATTTAAGAAATTTGCCAATAAGATATTCCACAAATATCCAATCAGTATGCTCTTTCCCCAGTAAAACCTGAACAGAGTTTCAGTGGTGTAAAATATACTTTGTATATTTTCTGTTAAATTATTGTATTTTAATCCTCTACTACTGTATTTAGTAATAAATTATCCAATTCTATAAATAATGTCAAGTTACTTGTTTTATAAAAAATAAAGAGTTCCTAATTCAAGATTCTGTTTTATTTAACAAAGTCGCAGTTTGCAAAATAAAACACTAATTCATCACAATACACCAAAAAATTTTACTTTAACACTGGACGCGAGTTTTTCCAACCATATTGGCATCATCAGCAGATGATTAAAACTTGACGATGATATTCAGTGAATTATTGCAAAATTTTTACTCTGGCGTATGTCAATCATTAATAAAGACAATGCCAAACAGGCTTGCAGTGGTTGCAAAAGTTCATGCCGATGTAACGCCATATTAGAACAGTTATTTTTTAAAGTGTCAATCTTTTTGTTTATATATTGGCCTACAGTTTATTTTAATGTTTATAGAAATTAAACTATTTAAATAGGTACCCATTAGAAATGTTAGATTTTAATATATTTTTAATGTATTTCTTAAATGTAAATAATTCAGTTAATGAAAATAAAGGATTTTAATAAATTTTTCTTTGTCCGAACATTTAGTTGTTAGGGCTCGTAGTAGTTATTTAATAGTAGTAGGTACAGAAATACCGCATAGGCGGGAACAGCGACACTTTTGAAGCCGGAGCCTCGGTTACAAAATCGCGGTATTTCTCTGGAACGGTCGCTATGGCAACGCGACTAATGTGGAACTGGTGTTCCCATCACTAATTTTTATCGTCTGTTATCCTGTAACGTCGTAAAGCCCTTTATTTTTCCTGTTCTCATATTGCGTTTTAACAATTATGATCCTTCTTAATTCACTTATTCCACAATCCAATGTCCTTCATCTTCGTTTGAAAAAATTGCTGACACCTAACTGCATACTGATAATAGGATGTTTCACGAGAGTTGTATATCTTACAATTTGTGAAAATTCGCATCATATCCGCTATGAATAATCGTCTTGATATATAATATCTCGACTTCAATCTTTCTGTCATTGTTTTTAAATCTAGAAAAGGAATTTTTCTTATTTAGATTAAGATCAAATTAACAAAAAATAAAATTACCCATTGGATATTTTATGTGATCAAAGTAATCTGGAGCATCCGCTATATTAACTGGTAATCTAAAAGGCCAAGATGATTCATGGCTCTTCACCTGAAAAAGTATTTATATAAATAATTTTACAGTACTTTTACGTATTCATGTACTGATTTTAGTAGCTATAATCAGGTAGTACCGGATGCGTCTCAAAAGTGGCTCACCCCTATAACTTTTTAGCCGACCATACCAATAGGTATGGTAGGCTATTAAGATCGGCAAAAAAAAGTTTTTTTTTAATTTCACTCAAAATGAGTTATTTGGGTCATAAATGACCTAAATACAAAATATTTTCATGGTGTCTGTCTGTCTATCCGCCCGTCTGTCCGTCTGTAACACGATAACTCAAAAATCGCTAAACCGATTTTAACCAAATTTGGCACAAAAATACTGTGGCACCCGAGAATCTGGCCATTAGTTTTTGGTGGAGGTGGGGGGTTGGTAAGGGGGTATGGGAGGGGGTTAAAAATTTAAAAAAATCGTAACTCCAAAATTACTGTACCTAGCTAGCGAAACGCGGTTTCGAATTTAAGATTAGGAATAATATTTGCAACAAAATTTGTAATAACATCAAAATCAGTCAAAGTCGCAGTTTTTAAGAAAAAAAAAATTGGAAAAATTCCTTTACTTTGAAACTAAAAGAACTGCCTACCCAAGGACTGTATATATTCTAAAGGACTGTTCGATCGCGCCAAATCGCCGCTGTCGTAGTCGCCGTGGAATGCTACGTCACGCGCTGACCAGCGCTCCACAGTGCGGCGGATGGTTATTCTAGCGTGACAAAATCTCAAGAGCAATGTTTGGGACTTAAAATCTAAGAACGTAGCAAATGGTCTAATATATAGCAACTATATGGTTAAATTTATTTATTTATTAACAACTTAATTTATTAATAAATAAATACAAGATAATAAAACTATGATATTATTCGTACATGACACACAAAAACCGTATTGTAAACTATTGCCAAATACATAAAATTATGATATCAAAAAACTCTTCAGCAGTTTTTTTTTAATTAATTTGTAATCTTGTGATACCCTCTATAATTTATTTTAAAAAAATATATTTTATTTTGAAAATAATAAATAAGATAGATATTTTAATTTTAATTTTAACACTCGGTAATTGTAAAAACAAATATAGTAAGTATCTAAGACAATTTTTTAAACTCAGTGCCTTATTTTGATGGAGTTGTTTTGTTTTTAAACTATCCGATTGAAATGAATCTTTTTGGGCATTCACCTGTTCAGCTTGAACTCCCTGTGACTGTGACTACCTGTGTTGGTAACTATTGGTAACTCAAAAGATCTACATCATTCAATATATCGATATTTGAAAAAAAAGTGAAAGTTTGATATCTGCAGAACAAAGGCACGAATGATTTTAACAAATAATATACGTACAGTAGAAAAGTACATACCTTTGGCAATCTTCAACATAATTTGGCTTTCTAATAAAATGTATAAGCACTTGTAAATATTTTGTTTTCGTATGATCTCTGCCTTGCTGAGCAGAAAACGACCAAATTTGGTTGATATAAATGTATCGAAATACAAAGAATATTCATGTATTTTTGTATCAATTGGAATGTCTACTATTTATTCTTATCAGTACACATTTTTTGGCTTATTTCTAACCAAACGCTTTTGTCCCGCTAAATTTATCTTCCAACGCACTGTGCGCTCGTCCGTCAAATGCAAAAATAACTGTCACTGTCTAAAATCTTTAGCGCCAATCGCGCCAACTTCAACTCGGTCAGTAGATGACGTAAAAAAACTGACAGTGCAGGAAGATAGGAATCGAACAATCCTTATCTCTATAGTATCCTGCCTACTAACTTTTTATTAACATATTTTAGTATGGGCGGCTATACGTGCCTCCCGGCGCCAATTTTTTTTATTTTTTAGATAAAAAAACGACATTTGGTATGTTAGTATATGACATAAATTAGGGATTGATTGACATATTCAATTGCTTTCGGTCACTTCCTGTTTGACTGTAAATTACTACAACTTTTGATTTTTAAAGGGCATCCTCCGTATTTTTTTACTTTATTCCATAGAAAATTACACTCTGAATAGAATGACATTTGACATTTCAACCTTTGACATTTTCGGATATAGTTTACTTGAAATTGTAACATGCGGTTCATAACGACAATTTGACTCGAAATACCAAGTGTGTGTTACCAAATTATTCATAAAAAAATGTTTTTTTTCCAAATACGCTAACGAGCCACCCTCGTTCCATTAAAAAAAAATGAAATATGATTAAAAATTTGATTTGGGCATCTTTTAACCGGCCAAGACTAGATAATTTTTTTAGTAGATTAGACAATCAGATCTATTATTCCAAAGCTCCTTGATTAAAAATTAGTGTTTTTAGCACAGCCATGAAATTTAAAATACGATGTTTTTTTTAAGCGAATATGTCAAAAGTCGTGAAAAGTGGGAAAAAATAATATATGATATGTCATTCTGTCCAAAGTGTCATTTTCTATTGAATAAAGTAAAAAAAATTGGCGCCTGGAGGCACGTAGAGCCGCCCATACTAAAATATGTTAGTAAAAAGTTGGTAGGCAGTTCTTTTAGTTTCAAAGTAAAGGAATTTTCCAATTTTGGTCCGCGGTTATTTCCCCTATCCGCCACCTGGGGTCCCGTCCGATGGGAGTTTGGAGTTCTCCACACGGATTTTCTCAAAAACGGACTACGGAAACACGGAATATCTCAAAAACTGTGACTTTGACTGATTTTGATGTTATTAAAAATTTTCTTGCAAATATTATTCCTAATCTTAAATTGAAAACCGCGTTTCGCTAGCTAATGTAATTTTGGAGTTACGATGTTTTTTTAATTTTTAACCCCCTCCCATACCCACAACCCCCCACTCCCACCAAAAACTAATGGCCAGATTCTCGGGTGCCACAGTATTTTTGTGCCAAATTTGGTTAAAATCGGTTTAGCGGCTTTTGAGTTATCGTGTTACAGACGGACAGACAGACAGACACCATGAGAGAGAAAATATTTTGTATTTAGGTCATTTATGACCCAAATAACTCATTTTGAGTGAAATTAAAAAAACTTTTTTTTGTCGTTCTTAATAGCCACCTGCCATACCTACCATACCTGTTTGTATGGTCTCGTTATTTTATCTGAAAAAATAAAAGAGTTCTAGGGGTGAGCCACTAGGGGGAGACGCACCCGGTATATTAATTGAATATTAATTAGAAATCTAATAATTATTAAGCAAATTAATAGGTCAATATACCATTCTAATTTCATATAACATGTTTTCACTGATACCTTTTTATATGTCTATTTTTATGAAATTTGATTTATTATAAAAATATTTGAAAAAAAAGTAATTATTACATATTTCTAAACGAAGCATGCATTTTTCTGCCTTCTTCTTGCGAGTTTTTTGGGATAATTAGGCTACGCGCTGATGCAATTTTTAGTTGGCCGACTATTCAGTTGCAAAAATGAAAGCAATACATTCTTATTAGTGATGGGTTGTTATTTAACTATCTGTTATTTTATAACAATTATTTATAAATAACATAACGCAACCGTTGCTACTTCTAAAAAATAACAGATATAAAATAACGACACGTAGAGATCGGCCGCTCGTGAAACGATAAACGAAGTCGGCGCTCTGCATCACCACGAAATTCTATGCTGCTCGAAGCAATTCCAAAAAACAACTAGTATGGATGGAAAACATGTTATTTCGTCAACCATCGATACAGGCGGCGAGAAACGGACAACGGAGTGGGGAAAGCGCTACGGCGAACGTAGCTGCTTCGGTCGATACCGTCAATGGTCGTATTTACAACAGCTTAAAAATAATAGGATATAAAAGAAGCAGGTTTTTTGAAACAGTTGAGGGCATAACGCCTGGCGGTGGAGATAACAGGAGTGGGAAAGGAACGCTGCTGCATCGGTCGATTGTCGATGGAGGCTCGCAACGGGTTGGAGAAGCAGTCATTTTAGATATGTTGTTTTTCAACCTGTTACAAGTATAACAGGGCGGCGGACGAGATAATAGGTGTGGGAAAAGAACGCTGCTGCATCGGTCGATTGTCGATGGAGGTTCGAAACAGGTTGGGGAATATCGCGTCAGTTGTTTTAGATACATTCTGTTTCAACCTGTTACGAGCATAACGGACGGAGGTCGAGATATTATGGCGCTGTATGTTTCAGTACTTACTTATTAAGTTTCAATATTTAGGTATTTATTTGTTCTGAAAAATTTTCAGAATAATATTTTAAGATTTTTTAAAAATGTATACAGGGTGTTTTGAAAAATCTGGTCATTGATTAATCACGATCCTGCTTAAAGCCCTTGACGTAAAAAGCTGATTTTTGGAAAACGGATTGACTTTAGTGTGTAGAGGTTCGATAAGAAGGGATTTTTCGAAACTCGAATTCTAAGGGGGTGAAACTACTCCTTAAAAACCGGTGAGTTTTTCGGAAAAACTCTTAAAACACGTATATTTTATTATGTTGTTTTACATATTTTACAAGATTTTTTAAAAATATATACAGGGTGTTTCATAAAATATGATCATTGAGTAATCACTATTCTGCTTAAACTGCTGGACGTTTAAAGCTGATTTTTTGCAAACGGATTGACTGTGGGGTTGAGGTTCGATAACGAGGGGTTTCTCGAATCTCAAATTCCAACAGGGTGAAAACGCTCCTCAAATATTACAATATTTGTTATTTCTCGCCCGTCGAGTGAGATGCACCCTGTACACTGCTACGCAATTCAGGATCTACGCGGATCGAGGGGCAGGGCGTAGGTAGATCGCAATGTGTAGGTATAGACGAGTGGCGGAATTTTGGCTTTTTTTATATCGCAATTTGTAAACAGCGCTTATTTGTAAAGAACCACCGTTTTTAGAGAGGTATTTTAGATAACAATCGATATTTAGAAATGTTTTGACACCCTGGAAATACTACCACGTCATTGTTGCAACTTGCAACTGCGTTAATACGCCTGGCGGTGACCGTCTCATACTCTTTCAGATATTTAGCAGTAAAATAAAGAAACCTGTTATTTTTAAGCTGTTATTTTAAGCTGTTTTTTATAAATAACTATAACAGTTTCAACTGTTATCTAAAAATAACAGTTTTGCCCATCACTAATTCTTATTGAGCCAATCGGCTGGAATAATTTAGTAGTTTCAATTAGTCGTAGAAGTTTGTTCACCTAATTTTAATGTAAGCATTCAGAACGTCATAATTAGTGGTAGTAATTTTCAATTATGGAAAAAGTCAAACTTTTGACTTTTCCACTAATTATACTTCAAAATTTGCGAGGAATGTCATTTTGGCCTTTGATTATCACCCGCCGTTTTATAAGCTTAATATTATGCTTTCTCTATGGATACAACAGACTACCGCAAGCTGTTGCTAGGATATTTTATTAATTTTAATTGTGTTTTTTAGACATTGCAAATGATCGTAAACTAAAAAGTATAAAGCGTAATTGAAACCACTAATTTATTCCACTAATTGGGAGGGTCTGAATGAAGCTTAAATGTCTTTTTTTTTTTCGAATTAATATTTTTGTTTAGAAAATATGCAATAATTGCTTTGAGTAGTTTATTTCTAAATATTACACATCAAATGCAGATGTGTTTGAAAAAATTAAAAATTAGTACAATGTTATCAAAAAGTTTTATAATCAAGCATGCTTGGTATAATAGCAGATAAACAATAATTCTTATGTTAAATTATATTGGAATTATTTTAGCTGTCAAAGTCAAAGCCCGCAGCTCGACCATAAAACTTTTTGCCGAAGCTGACTAATAAAGAGTACACACAATTAAATTGAATTTTACTACTTACGGCATTTAATACAGTCTTAAGTAAACTAGTTAATGTATCCATATCTTGATGTTCTTCAAAATTTTGAGCTCTGATTATTCTGTTCTCAGGTGTGTATCCAATCTCCTCTAATCCCGGAATTGATTCAACTGAAATAGTTCGTTCTCCTAAAAGAAAATAATAGAAAATAAATAAAACGACTTACTACAAATAGATTAACAAACGACCTTTATAAAATGTTAGTCCTGGCTGAATATTTGATACTGGTTTTTTCATTTGATAAATAAGGTGCTTAATAAATTTCTTTTGTCTTTTTATAACGCTCGAGGCCTGCGTATAAATAATTCTCGGATTTAGTTCACAGTGCAATAATGTTGCACGTTTATAATATTTAATATAACCTTCATAGACTGTTCTACTCAATTTGATGTTTTCGGAAAATCCGTGTCTCTCAAAATACCCTACGAAAGAGGACAATACAGTTATTATTAGACGGAATTTTTGAACAAAATATTAAGGAAGAAGTATAACGCTATTCGTGTATTCATGCATGGTAGACGTAGATGGGGACCTAGGGTGGGGTTTCTTGACAGTTCTCTTGGACGATAAATTTGACACATTTAAATTTCATTTATACATTTAAAATTTTGTGGATTTGTCTGTCTTTACTGAGATTATTTTATGTTGTTTATTACTCGTTCTACAACTGGCAGTTGTTTAGAAGTAGTAAATCTTTAAGGAAATTGTGGCAGAACTTAAATTAACAGTGACACTATTGCGATTTATCGAAAAAGATTGTATAATGTGCGGTAGATCTCGGTCAAAAATCAAGGGAAATAATGGAATAACTTTTCGTTAGTAAGTGACTATATAATATACATACACGGTGGCGCCTCTCATAAGCCGCGGAAGCTCCTAGTAGAACGGTAGTTTATATTGAAATAAAATTTTGGCAGCGTATCTAGATTAACTGAAAGCATTTTATAAAAATATATAGAATTATACAGGGTGTCCCCAAAAAAAGTTACTCATCAAAGTTGTTTTTTCTAATGGAACACCCTATATATTAATTAATTTTCGGATTCTACGAAAAAAATAAAGGTGAATTTTATTAAGAAGTATATACCTAAAATCTAAGGATTTTGACATATTTCACATTTTCTGGAGAGTAAATTTTAAATTTTGATAATAGCTACCTAAATTTTAGTTGACCATGTATAGCCTGATATTTAATTACAGTAACCTCTGTATGTTAAACCAAATTGAAATTTGATCCAAAAAGTTATACAGGGTGAGACAAAATTAATATGGAACATTAGTCAGTTTTAAAAGCAAGTTACTCCTTTATTTTAAATAGAACACCCAGTATATTTTTGCGGTATTCAATGGAGAATTTATATATTTTCAAAATATTATTAAGGTTGCCTACCCCTCAGACAAAGATTTTCCTAGATATTTTAATTATTATGATTTTGCGTCAGTAGATCTTTATTATTTGAAAAATCTAGGTGGCTGTGATATATGTACCTTTTGTTAATTTAAGAAAAATTAAAGATTAAAGAGTAAAATACTCAACGATCAAACAAATAAAAAGATACAAGTTTAAAACATATTTTAATTATTACATAATTAAAACTATATATGAACCTATAATTATGTGACAAAAATTAGCTAGATGAAAGATGAAATCAAATGCTCAAAATGTTTCCTTTGAGCATTTGATTTCATCTTTCATCTAGCTAATGTTTGTCAGTCATTTTTGTCTTTAAGCCTTGTCTTTTCAAAATAATATTTTCATTTTAAAAAGCATATGTGGAGTTTCACCTCGAAAAGCAGCCATAATAACTTCTCTCATATTGTCGACAATAGTTGGTCGAGTTTTCTAAACACTGTCTTTAACATATCCCCATAAAAAACCCAGACAATATAAAATCAGGAGCATTTAAGTATTCTTTTAATTGGTGAATACACACTGCATGCACCAACTAATAGAATCATATCAATTCTCTCTGATGTAAGATAAGTTTGCATTTTTTTTGTTTTAACAGACACAAAATGATAACTAGTTGTTAAACCTAACCTAACCCAGCCACCTAGATTTTATCAAATAATAAAGATCTACTCAGATCGAATCATGTAAATGAAAATATCTAAGAAAATCTTTGTTTGAGAGGTAGGCAACCTAGTATAGTATTTTGAAGAGACATGAATTCCCCATTGAATATCGGAATAATGTACAGGGTGTTCCATTTAAAATAATAGAGTAACATGCTTTTAAAGGTGACCAATGAATATTAATTTTGTCTCACCCTGTATAACTTTTTGGATCACGTTTTAATTTGATTTAAAGTATAATAGTTGATTTAACTACATATTAGGCTATACCGAGTAAATTCCAATTGAGGTAGCTTTTATTGTAATTTAAAAATTGTTCTTTATTTCTAGAAAATGTTAAATATGTTAAAAACCTTACATTTTAGTCATATACTACTCTTATAAAACTCATTTTTATTTTTCTCCCAAAAACCAAAAATCAATTAATATATGTATAGGGTGTTCCATTACAAAAAAACAACACTTTGATATGTAACTTTTTTTGGGGACACCCTGTAGAACTCTCTATATTTTTAAAAAGTGCTCTGAATTAACCTACATATGCTCACAAAATTTCACTTCAATACAAACTGTCGTTCTCCTTGGAGCCTCCGCGGCGTATGAGAGGCGCCACCCTCTGTACATGTAGTAAACCGATCATTTATGAAATTCACTTAAAATTAACTAATTATATATTTTTTCTTGCATTTTTGCTTTTATTTACTACTTGTCAAAGATTAGATGTCAAATAATTTAGATACTTCAATTTGACTACAAGGCTCTGAAATCACGACTTCACAGCGGTGGGGTAAACGTATAAACCATTAAAAATTTGAGCGCTCTTGTCAGATGGTACTTATTATTACCACAGATTATACAGATTATAAACTTTGTTTTTTCTTTATTGTTTTTCGTGGTTCCAATTTTCGGAATCGGGCACTAGTTAGGTTACTAGTTTGCGCACATAGCACGCCCACTTATGGCCTCTAAAATTGTGCAAAGGGCCTGACCGGCACAGTTATTAGAGAGATATCGGAAAACCGAATAGCGCCATGCAGTATTTACGCGTACCATATCATGGTTACGATATGCGCGAGTCAATTTTTAACGCAACACCCGCTAATAACGTTACCGCCTGACGTAATTTGCGGATCAATTACACTAAGCGCTATTTCTAAATAACATTTAAAAATTGCTTAAATGGGCATGTGTGAGTATTTGACAACCGGGGTCGGCCGCCGAATCTTTTATTTTAGGTTATGTTTGAATTGTTTTGAATTATTACTTTAGTTTTATTAGGTAATTTGATATTTAAGTAGCTGGGATTAGTTTTAATTAAATAAATATGGTCCAAAATATGGATTCCACCTCTTCCAATATTAAACAACCTGTAAAGAGGCTTAGGTTTACAGCAGATGACGACTTAGCCCTTCTAAGAGAATTTGTTGCTTGTAAACCCACTGGCAGACGTTGAACAATAAAGCACTGGAAATAAGCACTTTAGTCCTTTAGTTTCAAAATACCTAGTAAACAAAACAATTTCAAAGTTTTAAATTCAAAGTTAGGTTAAGTTTAGATAGCGGAAGCGACGCGAACAGAATTCTTTCCGATCCGATAACTACAAATGAAGAGAGTTAATACCACCTCACGTAAAGGAAATAACAGCTGGCCTTATTAATGTCCATGCACGCTTTTCAGTTTAGCGATCTATTACGCTGTTTATTGTTACTTTACGCGAGTTTATTTTTGCGCACAGGAAATTTTACTTGTTTGCACATCGTCATAAAAAACAATTTTCGTACCACGAATTAGGGATAAGATTTTTATCTGTATACATATAGTATACCTAATCTGTGTTATTACGTTATGAACGGCGGAACTAAGTAATGCCTAGCTATAGCCTTCCTAAGAAAGCAGCTGTAGCTCCATTGACAAGGCCGTCGCTTCGGGATCGAGAGGTCCCAGGTTTGTGTCCCACAAATATATAACTTTTTTTATTTTTTTTAAAAGCTGTTTTTACTTTTTTATTTATTTATACAGCTGTCGGTAATAGCAATCAAAATACGCCCACTGTTTTGATTGCGTTGGTTAGTCTCTGGCGGTAAGTTTTTTTAGATTATTATCGGCCTTATCGGCTAGATGTAAGAATTAATCTAAAATCTTTTTTTTTTCGTAAATATCGTAATCTACATATCATTTGTCTTTTCTTTTTTTTTCATAAAGTAATGGTCAAAAAGGTGAAAATTGGCAAAGCTGCAAGCAATGACTTCATGATTTTAAAGCCTTGTAATTTGATTTACCTGCTTCAGTAGCATATCGGATGTTAGTGTTATTAAATAATTATTATAACTATCTATTTTTATTAGCATTATATATTTTTATAACAATTTTAATAACCACCAACATTTATAGGCAACGCAAAACAAAACAACAAATTATTAAGTTCTACATCGTACATCGTATTTTTACATGTTTTGAATAAAATTAGAACGGCACTGATAAACAGAAATTTAAGTCGGCCATTTTTGGTCCCCATCGCGCTCGACCTATGTTTTTAGATATGCTCCTTCCTTAACCATTTTATTCAAAGGACGAAACCATAATAATACCTATAGCACTTTTGTCTGCGTACGTTAAGCAGTGATAAATCCCTTTTGAAATATGATAATCCTTTAAATGGTTCATTAGGTGAATACCATAACCTTTGGTTTGTTCCAGCAAAGTAAGAGCACAGAAAGCAATCTCTGTAAATCCTTGAGTAAAAAAAGGACGAAAACATATTCCACCTACTGGTTTGTTGTTCTTTATCAGAGCTATAGTTCGATGTTTACTAAATAAAGAATATAATTGACAGCGGCATAAAAATATAAATTATAATATACTTACGGATCAAACAGCAACAAAGTGATATATTCTATAGGAATACCAGGCAACTCACGTGAGAACACATTTCTTAATCCAATTAACCATAACTTTACTTGTTTGGATATCGGTTGGGTGAGGCTGTTACCAATTAAATGTAACTCGATAATGCCTTCTTGTTCTTCTGATTTAGGACTCTGGTCTGTCGTTGGAGTGTTATCGAAGAAAAACAACTAGAAACACATAATAGCACTATTAAATTAGTAGGTAAATTTTACTGGCTGAATAAAAATAACGTCGTGATAGACGTAGAAATAATATTTAAATTCGAGTATGTAATAAGGGAAGCTCTTGACATAAAATAACAGCAGTTTTGTTCCGTTTGGCGTCTTTTTAGTCGTATGATTAACGCCCGTCCTAATCTCTTAAATATTCTTCAAAATAGTTTCAGTTTTGATAATTATTTTCTCTAGGTATAGTAGAAGACAAGGTTAGTTTATAGAAATATAGTAAACGCCACGAATGTTTGGGAGTGATTCATCGGTCGCTACCATGTGAACTAATCTGTTCAAGGTTACATCAAACTTAATTCCAGTGCCGTGGTGTTTCAAGTCATATAATAATCAATATATAATCTGTTGTAATTTGTTGTTTTAACTGTCAAAGTCTTGTCAAAACATATATTTGGTTATAAATATAAAATGGAATGTCCCATTGGTCGCACTGCAAGCACACCAATGGATTGACGCACACAAACGAATCAATCAAAGAAACGCGATATAGTATCGTCTTTGTCAATCACGCTAACATTTTAGAATAAGTAGGAGGAGCGCAGGCAGATGATTAGACCGGGCTTTTAAAAACTTACGTCTGCGGTAAAAATTTACGTTTTTAATGAAAAAATGACAGCGCGCGTGTCGATTCTAACTTCATCAAGCGATGAATCACTCCCAAACATTCGTGGCGTTTACTTTAGTTAATTTTGGTTTGTTTTCTCTAAGAATTTAAATTGCTAAAAAATATATATTTGGTTACAATTGGTGCCATTAAGAACACAATGTCCCAAATAACGCCAATTGTAGTTTCGATGAAGAAAAACACACCAGAAGGCTATAAAAGTTTTTTTCTTAAATTTCAGGATAAGACAAGGGTATAATACCTACTCATCTCAAAAATTGAATAACACGAGTTAGTAAACTAACATTCATATTCAAAACAAACAAATGAAGAGGTATCCTCTTTAGATAGTCCTACACATTCCTCGTGGATGTAACGATTGCATAAAACACAAAGACGCATGTTGAGGATATGGTGTTATTGATAAATAAAGCCCAATCAACTTTCTTGAATATACTTTTTTTTTTTCATTTAATTCCGTATAGTTCCTAACAACGCCAGTGGAAGACAATAGAACAAATAATAACGCCGTTTTTTTCACCGGCGTTATTAGATGCATATGATTTAAAAAGATCTGCTATTGATTGGAGATAAGTTTCACCTGTTTTCATTAAAACTATTATACAGTAATGTTGCGAACTTACCAGAGGGTACCTTCATGCCACTAAACCCAATTTTAAAGGTTATTAAATAGAAACAATTTTTATATATTTGTTATTAATATAGAAACAACAACAAGAATGGTCATTGACGGAAACAGTACTGGGAGAATTTTCAGGTCAGGGGCTTGGAACACCCTTAAAAAGAAAATTCCACTTCTCCAACTCCCAGTGGATGAGATACCAAGAATTTACAACTTTGAGAAACACCTCACTGTAGTATTGAGTAATAAAAAGGATTGGAAGAAAGAAACGCTTACTCAGCATATAAAAAACCATACCATCACGTGGTATACTGATGCTTCCAAAACCAAAGCAGGGACAGGGATAGGAGTATTTGGGCCGAAAACTAAATACTCCGAACCAATGGGCACCTACCCCAGTATCCTTCAGGCAGAAATTTACGCTATCGAAAGATGCGTACAATTTATCTTAGATAGGAACTATCGAAAACAGGAAATTGCCATCCTATCCGATAGTCAAGCCTTAACGCGATCAACTCAGTAACCATCAATTCTAAGTTGGTCAAAGAATGCCTAGAGAAGCTCAACAAATTAGGCAAAGAAAATAAAGTCCTCCTACTCTGGGTGCCTGCTCACCAAGGGATAGAAGGCAATGAAAAAGCAAATGATCTAGCTAGGAAAGGAGCAAACACTCCACTAACTGGACCAGAACCGTTCTGTTTTCCAAACGGGAACCGACTGAAAGCGTAACTGAAGAATCTGGAAAACTCCATCCGAAACTTGGTATGGGTGTCCTCTAACCGGTCTAAGACACTCGAAAAAGTTCCTCAGAACTTACGACCGAGAAAAATCAAAGTTAAAATTATGAACCCATTTGTAATTAGGTAGTTTGGTTAGGTTTTTATGTATTCTTGGTAGCGAATTTGAAACCAAACGTAACGTAAGTGCTTAGCGACGAATTTTAAGTGACTGAAATTAAACGTAATATGACGTTGGTAATTGGTAGAATTACATTCCCTAGTAGGTCAGATACCGACGTCGAGACGACCCGAATCTGTATTCCCCATTTAGGTGCAAATAAGGGTCGTCAGGCGGTCGAACAGACGTTGGTATCCGACGTCGGGTTTATTGAACACGACGTATACCCGACGTTAAATAACGTCCAAATGCTACTTGGGAATTTTATGGCACAATTGGTTGTAACACCTGGTACAATTGTGGGAACCTGACAACACTGGTTGGGAGTAGTTAGGTAGTATAAAATAAAAGTAGGTACTACATAAGAAAGAAATACTACATAAGCGAGGACCGCGACACTTAGGAAGTCGGAACCTCGATTACAAAATCGCGGTATTTTGTCGCGGTATTTTTCTGGAACGGTCGCTACTGTAACGCGACTCATGTGGAACCGGTATTCCCATCACTAGCATAAACTATGAGCCATAGGCCATATATGTGGTGTAACTACATAAACTGTCACGAGCACAAATTCTAAATTAAAGTTTAAGGACAAAAAGTGTAACTTTTATAAATTTTAAATTATAAATAAAAATCTTCCTAATACTATTTAAATAGAAATAAATCATATATTACCATAAAGTAATAAAATGTTATCACTTACATCAGGTCCTAGTTTATAATTGGGATCATCTATATTATTAAGTATTTGGTTGACTATATCTGATGGTAAATCTTCATATATTTCTTCTTGTGCACCTTTATGCCTTTTTGCTTCTCTGGGTGGCGTGTCTAAGTGTCTTACAGCTTTGCCTTATGTATTTAATCAATATTATTGTTAGTACACTATATTATTAACAACATTTTACTCACCTGAAGAAACTGTTACAATTGTAAAACCATCATCCTTATCTACATCTGCAGCAGAAAGATTTTCGAAATCTTCACTTTTAGGTGAACAAAAAGTAATATTGGTTTTTAAATCGTCTACAGAAAAAGTCAAAGGTTGTGGCTGAAAATTTACGTCCCAAATCGGGGAATTTGGGGAATAAACTTCTTCTTCCAGCTGATTCAAAAATTGAGGAAAAATATTCAAAAGCTTTGTTCTCCTCTCTAAAAATAAATACATAATTTAATGCCAACAATCCATATACAGGGCGGCGCACCTCATTCGCCTCGGTTGATTATACGAAGATGAAAAGATGTAGAACCAAAATATTTTATGTGTATATGTAGGAAGGCAATGTGCATAATTTAAAATTATTTTCAAATGTACAGGGTGTGTCAGAACTAAGATCCATACCAAAGTTATATTTTTTCTTATGAAACACACACCCGGTATTTTATTTCATTTTTTGATTGTTGGCCATAAAATAAGGCATTTATTATAAGTGTTGCGAAACCAGTCCCGCTTTAATATGACCTAGAAGAGCCTAGAAATTCGAGAACACAGCGGCTAAGAATTGTTCAGCACCGCCCAGAGCGTTCTAGACTCCGTCGCACGCCTATATATATAATAAATAATATTTTCTTGCCTTTAGCTGTGTATTTTTTCTAATTTCGAAAATTCGAAAGTAGAGAAAAAATTAAAAAAAAAAAGGTAAAAAGAAAATTGTCTTACTTGTCGTAAAGGGGGGAACCAAGCTCCACTCCCACAACCGGTTTCTGGGCCTACCCTTCATCAGGTGAGCTGTCCAGGGGCTGGTTCTCACCGATACGGCAAGCAAAACTTCTTCTATATCAACAGACGATGTCGTAAAGTGTCGGTGAGATATTAGTGCATCTCCCGTCAACGGGATATATATATATACCGTATATATACCGACGCCGGTGCGCAAGGGACAGACGATAATAAACTACAGTGTGCTACGATCGAGGCTTCTTGCTTTTGCTCTAAATAAATACGATAGATAAATAAGTTTGTAAATATAGTTATAAATAGTTATTTAAGTCTTTTATCGTTATTGTTTTTGTTAATTAGTGTAAATAAATAGTGTTTTAAATAAATTGTGACTTTCTATCCACACGGAACCGACGAAAAACGTAACATAAGGGTATGTTTAAATGCCTTGATTTTTGAGATATTTAAAGATATTTAAATATGCATGCTATAATAAACAAATTATCAACACCCTGTACATTTCTTTTCAAAGTTAATTCTTGTGCTGACTTTGAAGCCAGAGAAATAAACTTTACTAAAAAAATGTATTGCTTCCTTAAATGTATACAGGGGTATCAAAAATTGCTGGTTTATTTTAAATGTTTATTTTACATAAAAACTTCGTTATTTCAAATTCAACACTATGTATTTTTTTAAACAAATCGAAGCAGGTTTAAATGCTCTTTTAAACTATATTAGGGTTTACTATATCTATCTGACTCAGATTTTGAATAAAAAGCTATTTTTCTATAAAATTGTAATCAAGAAGGCTGGTGTCGCCATGGCAATTTTCTAGTGACACTAAGTAGCTATTTTTAAACACACTACAAACACACTACACGACATTAGTTTATGGACTTTATTTAAATTTATAACAGGTTAATTTTATTTAATTTACCTACAATAAGGTTAATAAGTAAGTATTTATTATTCTATCAAGAAAAATGAAGCAGTATCTGCTGGCGGAAGGAATGGATATGTTATAGCACAGAATATCTAGCTACGCAACAGAAGCCTCGCTACATGTATAAAATTGTAGGTATCAAAAGGAGAGAGGCTTTTAAAGCCTGTCTCCAAATCAGATATTTTGATGCGGTAGTTTCTCTACTACATAATAGAGGGCGATAAATTTAAAAGAAAATAGTTTTCTACAAACGAAATTTAAAAGAATTTTGTGCAGTGTTGCCATTGTGTAATTCATATTGTAATACTTCCTGATAAAGTCCACCTTCAAATTTGCTACATCATTTAAACATATCAAAATAGATCAGTACTCTTTTTTGAAACGTTTAAGTCAGGTTTAAGTATTTAACTTGCCATGTTAGTTGGGGTTAAATCTTACGAGCTGAATTACAATCAGTTCCTGACATTTGATCGTAATTGAATCCTAAATTTTTATTGTAATTCGGCGACAATATAAGTATTGTTCTACTATTATGATACCACTTCCTGACGTTCAATTGTGTTCATACTTTATATCGTGGCTAGTTAAAAGTTGCCCAAATCTTATTTTTAATCATATTCCAATATTTTCAAATGGAACGAGGGTGGCTCATTAGCATATTTGGAAAAAGCATTTTTTACAAATAATTTGGTACCACACACTTGATATTTCGAATCAAATTGCAGTTAGATTTATGACCATAGCACTCTAAATTAAAATTTAAAATGTTATTTTTTTTATTGTAAATGTCAAAAGTTGACATATGCTACATAGCATATGTCAACTACATACATACCATACTAGCTACATAGCAAGGTTTTTTACTTCGTTTGATAGAAAATGACATTCAGATGATGACAATGATGTCATTGTATTCTGAATGTCATTTTCTATCAAACGAAGTAAAAAAAATACAAAGGATGTCATTTAAAAATCAAAAGTTGTAGTCATTTCCGGTGAAATAAGAAGTGATCGAAAAGAATTGAATACGTCAATGAATCCTAATTTATGCCATATACTAACATACCAAATCTTGTTTTTTTTATCCGAAAAAACAAGAAAAACCTATAGGGGTGAGCCATTTTTGAGACGATCCACTATATCAGAATTTGAATGTAAAAATGTTTAACATTTCCCCACCACTTTAATTTTGACAATGGTCAAAAATTATTTTAGAGCAAAAAAGTGTAGTGTATTGTAATGGTTTGGAGAAAATACAATGCTTATATTTTCAACATACCTTAAATAAGAAATTTTAAAAAAAACTGGCATTTTTTATTTTGTTACTGTTATACTCGACTCTTTAGAGGCTTACTTTCGAACATGAAAATAATTTACAACAAGTTTCCCTTAGCCACTTAACCTATAGGTAAATATTTTACTTGAGCCGACATCGTCTATTGTTAGACCACTGTACAAATTACTCACCTGGACTCATTTTGTCTCGCTCTAAATAAACTTGATCCATTATTTGTTTTTTAATGTATTTGAATACCGCTCTTAGTAAAGTTCTGCCAAATATTTGCAATGTTTCATAATGGGGTAAAGATTCACAAAATGTAGGTATATAACAAAACGCCAACCACCTAAAATATTAAGAATTTTACAAAATTATATCAATACATCAACAATATCCGCACCATTTATATTAATTTAAAATAAATTGAAGAATATGGATAATTAATTATTAAATCGGTAGTTTTAAGATAAATTATATATATAAATTTAATTTTAACTCATTTAAGAATTTTTAAGATTACAAGTGATGAATATACAAGATGTCTCAAATTTAAAAGTGTAACAGTATTACTCTGCTTTCATTACCAATTAAATTTAAATTACTGTGGCCTCGAACGATAAGCCCCGTTCTCAGAACTTCGTAGTGTCGCCAGCAACACGTCAAAAGAACCAATGAGATTTGTAGAAAATTCATACAGCCTGTCAATTTTAAATTTAAACAACTCCTATTGGTTCTTTGAAGTGTCAACCACTGTCAGAAAGTCGTTCTGAGAAACTGAGAACAATTAAAATATCAATATTTTTGATAAACACGTAGACAGCTCACAAATACACGTCGCGTCACTACGTATTTCTAAACCGTTATCACTTTTCGTTACCACTAGTTCGTGTGTCACGGCCTTCAACTTTTACTCCCAGCGCGCGTAAAAAATACGTCTATGCGTTTCACTTCAAAAAGTATGATAAATCATGTCCTAGAATCGTTAGCAACTAGTAATACTTACTAGTCTATTATATAATATTTGTAATTATTTATTATATTATTATAATTATAACACAAAAGTAACCACAAAACTCCAACATAAAAAATGTATACACAAAAAAACTAAAATTCGTAAAATAATTGGCAAATAATAATTATTATTACACACACCGCTGGCACTAGCAGTAGATTGCGTTTGTCGTCGAATATCCAGCCCGTTCAACATTCGATCCGAGCATATATTTCTTTTTCGTCTTTGCAACGCCAATGTCGTCTATCTCTTTCTCACAGGATTGATTGTTGAACGGGCAGGGAATCCACGAGCTTGCGACGTTACTAATTGACAAATTGATATAAACTGCAGACTTCTTTTGCGTGTTTTTAATGGAAACAAATCGAAATAAAAGCTTCAAATGGTAAAATCGCAAAAGCGCTTCATGCGCCAAAACGCTTTCTGTGTGGCCGTGGGCTTAGTCTGATAACGTTTAAAAATTGCTTAAATGGGCATGTGCGGGTATTTGACAACCGGAGCCGGCCGGCGAGATCTTTTATTTTAGGTTATGTTTGAATTGTTTTGAATTATTGCTTTAGTTTTATTAGGTAATTTGATATTTAAGTAGCTGGGATTAGTTTTAATTAAATAAATATGGCCCAAAATATGGATTCCACCTCTTCCAATACTAAAGAACCTATAAAGAGTCAGGTTTACAGCAGATGAAGACTTAGCCCTTCTAAGAGAATTTGTTGCTTGTTGCCCTAAACCCACTGGCAGACGTTGAACAATAAAGCACTGGAAATAAGCACTTTAGCCTTTTAGTTTTAAAATACCTAGTAAACAAAACAATTTCAAAGTTTTAAATTCAAAGTTAGGTTAAGTTTAAATAGCGGACGCGACGCGACCAGAATTCTTTCCAATCCGATAACTATAAACCTGTACGCACACTGGCGCGATCACGGCCGCGATCACGATCACGATCAGGGATTTAAGTGTACAAACACTTTATTGCTGCCCTGATCGTGATCGTGATCGTGATCGCACCAGTGTGCGTGTAGCTTAAATGAAGAGAGTTAATACCACCTCACGTAAAGGAAATAAAACCTGGCCTTATTAACGTCCATGCACGCTATTCGGTTTAGCGATATCTCTCTATTACGCTGTTTATTGTTATTTTATGTGAGTTTATTTTTGCGCACAGGAAATTTGACTCGTTTGCACATCGTCATAAAAAAAACAATTTTCGTACCACGAATTAGGGACAAGATTTTTATCTGTATACTTATAGGATACCTAATCTGTGCTAATACTAATACCCAAGGATATTATAGAGATAAGGATAGTTCGATTCCTATCTTCCTGTACTGTCAGTTTTTTCATGTCATCAAGATGTCATCTAGGGACCGAGTTGAAGTTCGCGCTAAAGATTATAGACCGTGACACTCGTGACAGTTATTTTGAGCGCACAGTGCGGCGGAATATAAGTCTAGCGGGGCAAAACCGTTTGATTAGAAATAAGCCAAAAAATGTGTATACTAATAAGAATAACTAGTAGTTTATAAGAATTACTAGTAGACATTCCAATTGATATAAAAATGCATGAATTATTTTTGGGTTGTATATATTCTTTGTATTTCAATACGTTTTTATCAACAAAATTTGGTCGTTTTCTGCTGAGCAAGGCAGAGGTCATACGAAAACAAAATATTTACAAGTGCTTATAAATTTTATTCCAAAGCCAAATTATGTTGAAGACTGCCAAAGGTTTTTTACTGTACGTATATTATTTGTTAAAATCCTTCAAGCTTTTGTTCTGCAGATAACAAACTTTCACTTTCTTTCAAATACCGATATATTGAATGATGTTGATCTTTTGATTTACCAATAGTGATCAAAAAGTAGTAAGCAATTTTGATGCTAGAATGTTTGTCGTTTCTATGCCCATATTTATTTTTACCGGATGTTTTAAATTGTTGAAAAAAAACATGATTTTTGGGAGTCTCTCCATTTCAGCTGACAAGAATTTTTTGAAGTCCTCAAGAAAAAAAAAGCGTTTTAAAACCAACATCTAAGACCCGTTTGACCGTTTTGTGGGATGTCATGATGTAATTTTTGGATCCTAACTCTCTTAGAATACCTACATAGTGAGGCATCTCGATGCGATGCTCGCCGCGATGCATCCTACGCGCACTTACTCGCCATTTTAAAACAGTGCTTAAAACGTGCGTGTAGGATGCATCGCGGCGAGCATCGCATCGAGATGCCCCACTATGTTTGTACCCTTAGTGACGATGAAAAGAAAGGTGCGACCCATCTGGCGATCAGTTTTCATTGTTTTATATCGGAAGTGGAGAAAATGGCTTTTCCTTAAACAATTTTCGCAAATAGAATAAATTGTGGCCAGAATGCATTTTGTTAGTCACAGGGAGTTCAAGCTTAGCAGGTGGACGCCTAAATGTTTCATTTCAGTCAGATAGCATAAAAATGAAACATAATAAAAAAATAACTGCTAAATAGAGTTTTTTGTAAGCATTTCACCTGATACCATAATTTTATTTACTTGGCAATAATAGTTTACAGGTTTACAGTAACGTTTTTGTGTGTCATGTACGAATATTATAATAGTTTTATTATCTTGTATTCATTTATTTATTAATAAATTATGTTATTAATAAATAAATAAATTTAACCATATGGTTGCTATATATGAGACCATTTGCTACATTTTTAGATTTTAAGTCCCAAACATTGCACCTGATATTTTGTCCCGCTAGAATTACCATCCGCTGCACTGTAGAGAGGAGGTCCCAATGACTAAAGCCCCGTTTTCAGAACTGCGTCGTATCGCTGGCTACACAGTTTGACATTTCAAACAACCAGTGAGAGCTGTACTAAATTTAAAATTGACAGCTGTTTGAATTTTGTACAAATCTCATTGGTCCTTTTAATGTGTCGCCCGCGACACGACGTCGTTCTGAGAACGGAACTTAAAGAATACATGGACATGTAACGTCCATATACGGGCTGCAGCAGAATTTGTGACCTTAGCGTGTCGCTGGCTACACAGTTTGACATTTCAAACAACCAATGAGAGCTGTACTAAATTTAAAATTGACAGCTGTTTGAATTTTGTACAAATCTCATTGGTCCTTTTAACGTGTCGCCCGCGACACGACGTCGTTCTGAGAACGGGGCTTAAAGAATACATGGACATGTAACGTCCATATACGAGCTGCAGCAGAATTTGTGACCTTAGACGCCATTTTTTTAGACATAACGAATGAGTCATCAGCTGGCCATCAGCAACAATTTTAGCGATGTTAGTTGGTTCGTTGGTTGTGTGTGTAGTGAACTTTGCATAAACTGTATTACAATGGTAATTTGTTCAGCTTTCAAGTGTAAAAGGCGCAATGATAAGAGCCGGGAGTTACGTTTTATAGGGAAATAAACAGTCCACTACACCTTTTTAGCGTTTTTTTTATTGAATTCGATAATTATTTCTCTGATATTATATGTACTTGGTATGTGCTATACGTCGATACTAGTTTTGTACTTTTTGTTAACATTTTAACGTTTTTTTCGTAATTAATTAATATGATACCACCAGATACACCATAGGCGTAGTGAAAACATTTATCAAAAATATAAATATCGCTTCATGCGGCTATGTTAAGAAAAATATGTGACACGGCACTGTTTGGAAGAATGGTCACAGTTTGGTCTCGGGTGCTATTTGTCCTTGTATTCTTTCATTTGTCATTGGGATGTCCCTGCGTGACGTAAGCATCCACGGCGATTGCGATGGCGGCGATTTGACGCGATCGATCAGTCCTTTAGAATATATACAGCCCTAGACTAATACCAAAGTTAAATGGTAACATCAGGATTACACGCTTAAAAAGCTATTAAAGTATCAAAAAATTGTGACTAAAATTTTATTAACAAAACGGTACCTTACCTATCATATTCAATTCTATAAAGAACAACATCCTCAAAATTTGTAATAAATTGGTGATTACATGGACTTGGTAAGTCACAAATGTTTAAATGTCGAAATATTATATCAACAAATTCGTCCATGGTTTTAAATTCCTCAGCAGTATGTGAGTATTTATAGAGCAATAGGTTTGATAGTGCCGTTTGTATATTGGGCTCTTCAAATGGCGGCTGTCCAAGAATACCGTCTGCTACAGGTTTTTTTAGTGTCAGAACACAATTTTTTAACAGCTACAATATTTAAATTTTGTAACATAAAAACTAGAATCATACAACCTGATATTTTTACCTCAAAAATATATAAGTAAACTTTTTTTGCATCAAGATTCTCTTCGCTGCATATAGCTGCATACATGGTATCAACGTCCACCGCCATGCTCAATAGCCAGTTAATAGTGTCAGCACATTTAGCAATTAGGTGAAAAACATGAATTTCTGGAACAAACAAATTACATTAAAATACAGAAGATGGTAGTATATCATCAAATTTATATACCCACCTAAAGTATGACCACATTTACAGGGCTCTTCAAAGGTTGTAGGCATGTCAGACTTCTCTATCCTCTTCCATCCTAAGCAGGGGCAACTTAAATCCTGGGAGGTTATAATAAAAAAAATAGATAAATAGAAAACCATCTAATTTGTCAGATTTGATTTAGCATTTTAGAACAAAATATAATCCTCAGTCACAGTATATTATATAGTATGCAGGTATTAGATGACTATCTAGTTTATAACGAAGAGCAATAAAACTATCCTGATGTTTCAAAAATCATATGCCATATCTCGTGGGAGATTCCACACATAAAAAGAAGATTTATTTCTTATATTAGTATATGTCCGATTCTGCTTTGTTTCCTAGCTACAGGGGGTAAATTATTCATTTTATAATAACCTTCTATCAAGTGCTTAAAACGATTCTAATGGAATTTTGAGGGTAAAAGTTACTAAGTAAACCTCTGACGTAAAGTCTAAGTGCGACATAATTTAATGCTAAAAAAGTGTCGACAGATTCACCAGGGAGGTACACATAGGTTATTATTGGTGTATTTTTTAGTGTTGGGAATAATCGATTAGTCACAGTGGAACAATCCGATAGCCCCCTCAAAAATTTAATTTAATTAATTGGTTATAATGTATGTCAAGCAAAAAAAAATATATTTAAAAAAAAATATTAAAAATATATTTCTAGAATCATCAAGATTATTGCAATATCCGAGGCAATATCTATAAAACCAAATTATGTATATTGTTATTAAACTACCAAATTATATTGTGCAACTCAAATGTTGATAGTTACCACTGTTACCAGTTCAGCATCAACAAGAAAAAATAATAAATGATGAAAATTCCTCAACAGAGAAAATAGTTAAAACAGGTAAAGTAATTCCAAAGCCAGCTGGATTGGTATGGGACTCTAAATTTGTTTGTACAGGCAATGCTAAAATAAATGGACAAACTGGACACATGAGAATGCTGAAATTAAGAGACGCACATTTCCAACTGACTTCAGACACTTGGAAACGTGGATCTCTTAATAGGTAAATACACCAATACACAAAGTTGTCTATGGGTAAATAAGGTAAATTCTTATAGGTAAATAAGTTGTCCAACTGACACCAGAAATTCGTTACAATTGCAGTACTTATAAAAATATTAGATTTTTATGCAGTGGGGAAAATCTACAACACGGACGATAACTATCCCACTTCATTTATTCTTTTTCTGCGCCAATTTTCCTACACATACCTATGAGTAGGTACTCAGAATTTCAGTGAAGCCCAGAATCAGATCTGTTATATAAAATAAGAGAATTATTTAGGTAGGATTCTAATGCCCACTTGCACCGTTTGTATAAACTTTGTTTAAAGGCTAAGCAGTGATTAACTATAATAAAATATGTATAGTTAATCACTGTTTAGCCCTTAAACAAAGTTTATACAAACGGTGCAAGTGGGCATAAATTTCAAAGTAAAAGACGTTAAGTTGGCTGGTACTAATAGGCTGTGAGCTGTGACCCTGCTGTGACTTACATAGATAAATAAAACATAGATGTTTATCTCAAATAGGTATAATACAAATTCTCTAACCTGGCATTTTGAATAAACTGCTAGTTTCTGTAGTTTTTTGGGTAAAGAAAACAACAAAATTTGTTGTTTCTTGTCTTGAATGCTTTTCAATTTGCTTAGACTTCCATACTCCTCTACTCTCTTTGCCTGAAGGTCAGGCATAACAGCGGCTGGATATGATGATCCTCCTCCTGAATCCATTGCCAATCAATCAAGTGGATAAATGGTCAGTAAAAATTAATTCATTCCTCTGTTTTCTATAATCACAACCAATCACAACGATAACACAACTCAGACCAAAACAGACTAAAACAAAAACAAATAAACTTAGGTTAGAATCGTTTTATTCAAGGCCACAGATACAAATTCAAGGCACTGACTACCCACCCGTCAACGTACGCCGATAAAAATCTAAAGCGGCCCAAACAAAAAAAATCCCAACAAAACGATACGCAACCAAAGCAGCAACGTTGAGTTGCACATGCACATATGTTGCACCAATGCCTTCTATTAAAAGATCAGCCTACGGGCGGACTTTTGTTTACTTCATCAGCTGTACATACTTAGATATTGGGTTAGATTCCGTTTCATATTTTGTCGGTTGATTTTTGGTTTTAACTCTTTGATTTTTGGTATTATTTATTATTGTAGTGCAAAAAACTAATTATTTTGGTGTTGAAGTGACATAAACTACTACCAGATATATGGTCACTCTCGGTTTCGCACAAAAAAATAGAAATTTTAAAAATTACACGTTGTGCAAGTGATTTAACCTAAAAGTGCCCATACATTTTTTACTTATCGTGATTTTTTTGTGTGTGTTTTTAAGACTCTAACAATTCATCAATAAAGCTTAAGTGGAGTGTGTTATTGGTGCTATGCCTCATCTTTGTTGTGTTCCTGGTGGAAAGGATGGTTACTAAGGATAGTTATTATACTAGGCAGCCTAAAGTGTCCGGAAGAGCAAGAAAAGTGGGTACGAGTTATAAATCAAGAGAATTTTATTGAAAATATCTTTAATAAAATTTAAAATAATATTCTCCCATGATGGTATTAATGAAAACTGGACAATTATGTTTATTTTATTCATATTGTGGAATCTCCACTCAAGTGTTGCTGGTTCAGCTTCGATAGATTCAAACACGTAAGTAGGTATTATGATCTAGGGAAAAATAAAGAATATGTGTATTAGAGATCATGAAAAAGATTATTATTTTGAGTTCAAATTTTTAAAAAGATTTTTGTAAAGACAAGACTGATACAGTTTAAAAGAAGAATGTGTTTTTGTTTGATAATATATAATGTATGTTAAGCATAACATATATTTGTTCAGTAATTTTTAATGAATAGTATTGATTATTTATAATACCAAATTAATATCAAATATTTAAGTGATGGCTGAATACAATATGAATAAAATAACAATAAAATTGGTATATTTGCATAATACAAAATTAAGTTTTAAGAATAAAGGTGTTACTAAGAATACTAAGAAATTCATATTTCTTTGTTTTAATTGGTCTAATGTTATTTACATTTTACGTAAAATTATACCGTATCATCGAAAAAATCGGCGTCTAGTTGGCTTGGAAATGAACATCGATGACATTCCCTAAATAACTGTACACATAAAATAATTAACTAGAATTTTACAATCTTGGAAAATTTGATATTCTTGAACCTTGATTCTAAATATTCTAAATTTTTTGATTTTCTTGGAATTTAGGTTCGGGAAAAACGCTGATTGATTTTCCATTTGGTTTTTCATTATTTTTATTTGGTTTAAAAAAAACGGTTCGGCTAACATTATAGCCTCCATCAGTGTTGTGTCATATGAAAAAAATAGTGTCGAATATAATCCAAAAAATTGCATATAAAATATGCACACCACGCACATAATGTTTACTGCCTACTCCATAGTCAATGTAGATAATTTTAGTGTTAAGAATAATAATTTTAAAAAATATGTGGTCATCTTTTGATAAGTTTATATTAGTTTATTAATTGCAGTAAACATTATGAGGTGAGATTATATTGTTTATGTAATTTTTTGGATTATATTCGACACTATTTTTCTCATATGACACAACACTGTGAAGGCTATAGTTAGCCGAAACGTTTTTTAAACCAAATAAAAATAATGAAAACCCAAATGAAAACTTAATCAGCGTTTTTCCCGAACCTAAAATCCCAAGAAAATAAAAATTTTAGAATAATTTAACATATAAAATGCCAGCGATCTTCATTTCATAGCCATCGCTGACGCCTTTTTTTAGATAATATTGTATTATTTGTAAATATAATTTTTCGAACATTGATACTTGCAAAATAAACATATAAATTTTGTGAATGCAAATAATAATACATCACTATTAGTAGATATTCAATGTTTTTTGTTAAATTAGATCGATTTTCAAACCCCAAAATTTAAAATATATTTACATTTTACCCATTATCTTATGTACCTATACATTATTTGTACATTGTAAAACATTTGCTGCATATGTATGGTTCATAGTTTATTTGCCAAAGTATTTATTACTATAAATAGGTATATATGTTGTAGTTATTAACTGTATATTATGTATATTTCATTTAAACTATATCATTTTTAAAATACAAACCAAAAATCTGAGGAATAATTATGTTTTCCATGTATTCTACAACATATTTATTAATCCGTTATATCTAACTAGCGTGACGTCATAAATCTCGCCCGTCGGCTGATCTTTTAATAGAAGGCATTGGTTGCACACAAAGGTCTTTAAATCTTTAAAATGTCTGTGACAAGTGACAGGTGACAGTTGGCGGCAAATATTTTGTGGTTAGGTAAACTGCCATTTCTTTGTTTACTTCACTATATTTATTATTTAACATTAATCTATTATTTCATATTTAATCCAAGTCAGCCTAAATTTTTGATTTTACTGTGTTTATTTTCCAACTTCTATGCTCTTAACGTCTAATATTAAGTGTTAATTATTTAGCAATGAATTCTGAAGAAGGTACATCAAATTCAATTGATGTTAAACCCGTTATTCCGGAAGAAAAAATTGAAGAATATGGAAGCCGGTTAAACAAATTGAAAAATATTCAAGAGAAGAAACAACAAATTTTATCGTTTACTTTACCTAAAAAGCTTCAAAAACTCGCCGTCTACTCAAAATGCCAGGTAAGAATAAATTCTTACATTTGTTGTGGTTTTTGAATAAAAAAATATTTTTTTCAAAGTTGTAGTGTACTTGTTTTCATTGGGCGCATTCAGTAAACCCACACTGGTATTAACCGGTAAAGAAGACCTACCGATAACTTTTCATTGAACAATCAAGTTACCGGTACGTAAATAAACCGGAAACAAAATACGGTAGGCTCTCAAGTGATCGGTGAATCAACCAGTGAGTTACCATTGGCATTCAATTTAATTTTCTGCACCGGTGGACTAACCGGTGTGTTTACTGAATGCGCCCATTATTACATATAGTAATACCACAGGTAATACCTTGAGGTAATACATGTACCTATTTACAAACTACCTACTTACTTTAATGTAAAAAATGCGTAGTTCAGATGTATTGGAGTATTGAATGGTATTTAATTTTTATTAAAACTTCTCAGGGTGCAGGTTGTGAATGTATCGGATGGAAGAGAAAAGAGAAATCTGATATGCCTATTACCTCTGAAGAACCCTGTAAATGTGATCATACTTTAGGTGAGTATATGCAATTTACAGCATAAATTTTATGCAGCATTTTGATGTGTTCTTTATTCAAGAAAGTCACATTCTTCACCTAATTCCTAAACGTTCTGAAACTATTAACTGGCTACTGAGTATGGTTGTGGATATAGATAACATGTATGCAGCTATGTGTAGTGAGGAAAATACTGATACAAAAAAAGTTTATTTGTATCTTTTTAAGGTAATGTTAATAAGGTATGTTAGTCAAATATTTTTATATTATAAAATTATAATATTGCAGCTATTAAAAAATTGTGTTGTAACATTAGAAAAGCCTGTAGTAGAGAGTCCTCTTGGACAACCACCTTTTGAAAAGCCAAGTATACATAAAGCAGTAACAAACTTGTTGCTATATAAGTACTCCCATATTGGCCAGGAATTGAAAACTATGGATGAATTAGTTGAGATATTATTTCAGTGTTTGAATACTTGGGATTTTCCAAGTCCATGTGATCAGAAGTACATAGCAAATCAAGAGGAAGCTGCTCTTTATAGAATTGAATACAAAAGGTAAGATAATATAAGTATGATTTATTGAATTCATTTTTTTATTTTATCTTTAACTAAATTCCCTCAAATATATTTTTACCTTAAAATTATCAGATAATCAATAATAATTATTAAGTGTTATAACACTTAACCATATTTGTTATTTAGGTACAATATGTATATTATATATTTTTAGATGGTTGGCATTTTGTTATGTACCTACATTTTGTGACTCATTGCCCCATTATGATACAACACAGATATTTGGTAGAACTTTATTGAGGGCAGTATTCAAATACATTAGAAAGCAAATAATGGATCAGTTCTATTTGGAGCGAGACAAAATGAGTTCAGGTGAGTATTTATAGGGAAAAAATAAATAAGGTAGCCTATAGGTACGCGCACACTGACCAGAGCCGCACGCGCCGCGTCGACCGAAGAAAAATATTGTTTGTATTACTTTCAATGAAGGTGCGCACACTAGCCAGAGCCGCACGAATCGCATCGACGAAAATGCGGCCAGCATTATTGGGCCAGAATGATTTTCGATAAATGCGGCTAGTGCTGCTGACGTCACACGCAATTCCTTCGACTCTACGTAGGTAGCCTAAGAAGAGATTAGAAATTCAATATGCTAAGAACGTTTAAAGAAATTTTTCATGGCTCATATTGAAAAATTTTTAGTTCATCCTCAAATATGGAAATAATGTGGATTTTTGCAAATATTGTGACCCTATAACTTTCGATTCTTTCTCGTGATTTCTTCTTCTATTAGCAAGGAGCTTATAATTTCTTGTTCGTTGTCATTCGTTGTCGAGAAATATTAAAAAACACGCTTATCACCGCAGACAGGACTCTTGAAGCGACTGATGAGAAATTCGATTGGCAAATACGGGTGTAGTAGGGGCAAAAAGAACCAAAATAGCGACTAATGCGGCGCGTTCGGTACGGCTCAGTGTGCGCGACAAGAAAAAAAAGGGCGATTCGTGTGGCGAGTGCGGCGCTGGTCAGCGTGCGCGTACCTTAAGTGACTACTGCTGTGGTGTGGTTATTAGTGTGTACCAGGCGGATGAAACTGCCATTTGAATTTTGGAAACACGGCGGAGTTTCTGCCAGTAGAGGGATAGATGGCGCTGCGTAGAAATTTCATCTAAAGTCCCTAGATATTCATCTAGGGACTTTAATTTCATCATGATTTTATCAAGTCATCCACAGAGTATAGTTTAATTAACAATTCGTTTGATTCTCTGTGGAGTAATTGGAGTAGTTGGAGTAGTTGAAAAATATAAATATTTATATAAAATGTTGATAATTTAACAGCGATGTGCTTTGTTACCCTATGAATAAACATTGATATGAAGTTGCTTTCGTCAGAAACAATTATAATTAAATAATTTAATAAAAATTTAATTTCTAAGTGACCCGGATCAGTTAGATCAGTAAAATAAATTGAAAAATAAACGTCATTCCATATTTGGCAATGTCTGTCAGTTTCTGTGAAGTGGAAGTGAATTGTGATTTGTTTTTATGGGAATATTTTACGGATTTTTGCGAATTTAGAGTATTTTGGACGATAGGATTGTGAAATTTAAAAGCCAAGTAGTTTAATATATAAGATTAATTAATCCCTGTGATAATTTTTATGAAATTTCTCATAATCAAAACAAATTCTTTCAACAAAATGGCTGTCTCAGAAATTTGGAAGATCATTAATTTTAAAGTTTTATTTAAGTGTATTTATATCGAATCAAGAATTTGTATAACATATTAAAAGCTTAATTTTAAAGGTTGTGCAGTAATTTATGTAAGTGTACGCTTTTAGATAAATATTAAATATACAAATTTGCAAAGACAAACAAGTAATTTTAAAAAGATCATTTATTTATTTAAACGAGTATAATCATTAATCATTAGGTTGAAAATATATTTGTATTTACTTATTTATATATTTTCTATACCCTTGTATTATTTATAAGCCCTATATGTCCTGTTTTATTTGAAAAAAAAATGCTTCGAGTCATCGAGAATAGATTTAATAACAATTTTGTCCCTTGGCTTTGTGTATTATATAATGTGAATTGTAAGATGTTTCTATTTGAATAGGTCATTAAAGTTGAGATTAAAGTTATACCAAATTATATTCACGGTAACTATATGTCTTTTATATAATGAATTATTTATTTATAATTTATAACCTTTTTTATAATTACTTATAACTGATTGTATAAATTCTGATAACTTTTATATATACTTGTATAGTGTTGAATGTGTTATATGTAATTTTATTAACAATGTTATAATAAAATAATCAAGTTACAAATTTTTCGTGTTTTATTCTAATTTCAGGGATAATTTCAACCTAATTATTAATTTATTTGTATCAAAATACATTATTTTATTTTTGTAAAATGTTTTGTTACAAATAAGTTCATAATCTAGATTGAAATTACCAAATATAAGTAAAAAACTTATGAACTGGCAGTAAAGGTCCATTTAAAAATATGGCGCGAACTTTTAGTTCTGCCAGTAGCCCGCTTGGATCGCGTCGAGCGCGTGTTTCCAGGCTTTAACATAGGAGTTTTCATTTCTTTCAGTTAGTTATTCTATGGTGTGTACTATTAGATATAGATGATCTATAACTTCTGTTGCTAGTGTCACCGTGTAGAGTATCTGTCACAGTGTGTTCCAAAAAATTGGGTAATTGATTAACCACGATTCTGCTTAAACTGCTTGACGTATAAAGCTTATTTTTGGCAAACGGATTTTTCGAAAGTCAAATTCCAACGAGATGAAACTACCCCTCAAATATTACCAAGTTATATAATAATATCGCCATATTGTTTTTTCTCATGCCGACATAAATGTGAGAAAATTTTATTCAGTTGGTATGTTAATGGAAATTCTTGCTTTGCCTTATCATCACCATTACAAATAATTAATTCGCGGGTACACGCTAGTAAGCTTCATAAGAAGCTTAAAAAATAATAATTTTTAAATTAATTAACGTTCGGGTTTATTCTTGGTTGATGCCCTCTAACGGACAAACGAAGCACTTTTATATAAAGGTAAATTATGGGCAATTAACTTATTGCGATCCAAAAAATACGTATTTGTTCTATTTTCACGGAATATTAGAACTCCCTGTATATTTTGTAGGTCTGCTTTGGAAAATTAAATTCTCCACAATTTTTTTTCTCAAAAACTATGCGATGTAGCGTTTTTCTACAATAAAGAGAAGAGATAAAAAAATGTAGTAAATACTAGAAGAATCATTTTACGAAAAGATAATATGTCGTCGGTGGAGATGAAAAATATTTATACTAAAATTTATGTAAGGGTGGGGGTAGTTTTCAGCCTCCCCGTACTTTTTCTTGATTTTTGTAAAAGCCAAATGTTAAAGCACTTAGCAAAACATAGACATCCAAAATCTCATTCAAATCGGAATAATGGTTCTTAAAACATCTGAAAAAATGTGTTTATTTTGTTAAAGTTTGATGCCATCTAGCGGATAAACGAAGCACTCTTCTATGGAGGTAAATTGTGTCCAATGAACTTATTTTGATTCTAAAAATACGTAGTAGTTCTATGTCCACGGAATATTGGGATACCCTGTATAGTGTAACATAAAAATATCATAATGTAATCAATTTTAACTCTATAATTATAGTATTTATATAAGTAAAAGCTTTTATCTTTGTCTTGTACATTAAAATGCAGACCATGTATTCAGAATATTGTTTTTTTAGAGAGAAAAACAATGCTGTTGAATAATTTTCCTCCATTTTTGAATCAGTTGGAAGAAGAAATTTATTCTCCAAATTCCCCTATTTGGGATATAGATTTTAAGCCACAACCATTGAATTCGTTGGATAGTTTAAAAGCTAATAGAATTCTTTTCTCACCTAAAAAAGGTCAGGAATTTGAAAAACCCGCTGCCGGGGGTGTAGATAAAGATAGTTTAACGAATTTGTCAGTCTCTTCAGGTAAGTAAAATTATTATTTATAATAAAGTATATTTTCATTTTATTGATTAAATTAATCAGGAAAAGCCTTAAAACCATCTGATACATCCCCCAAAGAAGCAAAGAGACGCAAAGGTGCGCAAGAAGAAGCGTTTGAAGATTTACCCCAAGAAACAGTGAACCAAATACTTAATAACATGGACGATCCCAATTTTAAGACGGGATCTGATGTAAGATTTTCTTATTTTATTATGTAGAATTTATTATTTTAACATTCTTAACACCAACAGATAATTAAATCTAAATTATTATTTATAAATTGGAGTTTCGTTTAAGAAAAGGTAGAGTACGAACCAACTAAGAACATGTCACAACCTTGATAGAAAACGATCGCTTTCTCTCTTGGGTTCTAATCATTCACGCGCCAGTGCAAGAGAGACAAACGATGTCTAAGTGATGACGCTCGTAGCATCACAGATTATACAGATTATAAACTTTGTTTTTTCTTTATTGTTTTTCGTGGTTCCAATTTTCGGAATCGGGCACTAGTTAGGTTACTAGTTTGCGCACATAGCACGCCCACTTATGGCCTCTAAAATTGTGCACAGCGCTTGACCGGCACAGTTATTAGAGAGAAAACCGAATAGCGTCATGCAGTATTTACGCGTACCTTATCATGGTTACGATATGCGCGAGTCAATTTTTAACGCAACACCCGTTAATAACGTTACCGCCTGACGTAATTTGCGGATCAATTACACCAAGCGCTATTTCTAAATAACGTTTAAAAATTGCTTAAATGGGCATGTGCGGGTATTTGACAACCGGGGCCGGCCGGCCGGCGAGATCTTTTATTTTAGGTTATGTTTGAATTGTTTTGAATTATTACTTTAGTTTTATTAGGTAATTTGATATTTAAGTAGCTGGGATTAGTTTTAATTAAATAAATATGGCTCAAAATATGGATTCCACCTCTTCCAATATTAAAGAACCTATAAAGAGGCTTAGGTTTACAGCAGATGACGACTTAACCCTTCTAAGAGAATTTGTTGCTTGTTGCCCTAAACCCACTGGCAGACGTTGAACAATAAAGCACTGGAAATAAGAACTTTAGTCCGTTAGTTTTAAAATACCTAGTAAACAAAACAATTTCAAAGTTTTAAACTCAAAGTTAAGGTTAAGTTTAAATAGCGGACGCGACGCGAACAGTATTCTTTCCGATCCAATAACTATAAATGAAGAGAGTTAATACCACCTCACGTAGAGGAAATAACACCTGGCCTTATTAACGTCCATGCACGCTATTCGGTTTAGCGATATCTCTCTATTACGCTGTTTATTGTTATTTCACGCGAGTTTATTTTTGCGTAATGGAAATTTTACTCGTTTGCACTTCGTCATAAAAAACAATTTTCGTACCACGTATTATGGATAAGATTTTTATCTGTATACATATAGTATACCTAATGTTCTAGTTGGTTCCTTAGGTTGGTTCGTACTTTACTCAGTTGGTATTGACAAAGCCTAACAAAATCAGCCAAGCGACGCAAAACTAGAAGGAATTGGACCATTACCTCTGTCTTTATGTTGACTTTCTTGGATGCATCTAATTGTCTGTAATTTAGGAGGTGTTTGATGACGTTTGAAAATGACAGGCATTAAGATTCATGAGGGGGAGTCAAAATAAATATTCGATTTTGATATAAAGATAATGTTGTAGATTTGCGTCCGTATGTTATATGTATATAAAATGGCGTTCGCAGGTTTAGGACCAACAAATAAAAAACCTTTTATTTAAAAAAATTACCGACATTTCGACGTTTATTCTCGTCTTTTTAATCTTTTTCAAGGCTATTTTCAGCTAAAAGATTCTTTTGTCAAAAGCAAGTAAGTAGCGTATCCTGCTGGCATGGATACTACACATAATAGTCTATGGATTTTGAAAAAGATGAGAATAACCATTTGAAACGTCGGCAATTTTTGAAGTGAAACTTCAGTCAAGGCCGCGACACACGAACTAGCTAGTGGTAACTTTGGAGCGACGTAACTCGGACCCTATGTGAACTAAGGGGTTGAAACTCTGAATGTAAATGGGGCTCGATGGGCCCCATCTTTCCACATTTTGACGTTTATATTTGACGACCATATTTTGACACCACATCATTAATGAATCAAATCAAAAAATCGTCCGGTTTACATGAAATTTGGTATGTCGATAGAATGGACCAAGGCCAACTTGACCGTGTACGACACGTGTCACTGTGACAGTTAGTTTTGACGTAAGAAACGTCAAAAGTTGATGTCGTCCGATCGCGACTAAATTTGGTGTGTAGGCTATGTAAGCGACGGTGCACACTGTCCCACCCTGCAAAGTTGGATGCGACGTTTCATTTACATCTTCATCGGGGTGGGACTAAGGATTTGATATTGAACAAAAATGTGGGTCGATTTCGGTATAATTGGGGACGGGCTACAGGATGACGCCCTCGGCGTTTCGAACCGATGCCCCTATAAATTGACGAAATCATCAGGATTTTTCTTAATTATGGGTCGATTGGAACCAAACTCGGCACATGGATTAGAGGTACCCAAATGGAATCCTCAGACGGACAGACGGTCATTTTAATACAATTTTTTTACAACTAAACTAAATTTTGTGAAAGTCAAATTAATTAAATTATTTATTGATTTTTAATTTATTACTTTTTCGACGTTTCACTTCTCTCTCCTCTTTTTCAAACGTGCTTCAAACCATTCTGTTTAATAGCTATTTGTAAGAAGTTCCACTTCAAATATGGCGCCAGTCTCACTGGTACACCAGCTCTTAGCTTGCGTAGAACTTTCATTTTGAGTTAGTTTTTGGGCTATTCTACTAGGAAAATTCAATAATTACTATATTTACTCACACCAATTAAACTACGCACTGTACGGAAGTACGCCAGTCTCCCGTACCAATTCGTAGATCGAAGGTACGCCAGTGACTGGCATTATCCTTAAGGTCTGTGCTGGACTGGCACGAAAAAGTGCTAACACAAAAGACAACAATAAGCCTTTGAGCCCGCAGTGGGGCTCAACAAATATGATGCACTACCATGCCAGTGCTGGCGTACCGCTGAAACTGGCACCAGCTACTGGATACGTGTAGATCTGCCTTTGCCAAATTGGTTTTGTCTAGCTTCTCTGATTTGGTTAGTGGACCATGTAGAATGTTTAGGAAGGGAGTTAATCACCGCGACCTTACAGATCTATTGTGTGTTCCCCTTTCTTGAGTTATAACTCGTTATAACTTAAGAAAAGGGAACAAAACTCGTTATAACTCATCATACAGTCTCAAGGCTTTAACAAAACCCAGTATCTGAGACGGCTTCACAGGGGCCAGCTCTTCATTCTCGACATCAGCCGTACTAAAGTTCATGGCACGAACGGTTGTCGTCTCGGCGCACTCAGTGATAAGGTGTTCTGGTGTTTCCCCATTTTAATTATAATAATAATAATAATAATATTTTACTTTATTTATGTAAGTGGCGAGATCTAGCATACGCTACTCAATCTAACCACCTTAAAAAAATACAAAATACACATACAATAGTAATACAACAATATAACAATTTTAATATAATATAAATCTAAATTATATAAACGAACAAAAAAAAGACATATATCGGGTGCGTCTCAAAAGTGGCTCATCCCTATAACTTTTTTATTTTTTCAGATAAAACAATTGTTTTCGGTCACTTCCGGTTTCACCGGAAATTACTACAACTTTTGATTTTTAAATTGCACCCTCGGTATTTTTTTACTTTATTCGATAGAAAATGACACTCTGAATAGAATGACATATCATATGTCAACTTTTGACAATTTCGCATATGGTTTATTTGACATTGTAACTTGCGGTTCATAACGAAAATTTGACTCGAAATACCAAGTGTGTGGTATCAAATTATTCGTAAAAAATGCTTTTTCCAAATATACTAATGAGCCACCCTCGTTCCATTTGAAAAAATTGAGATATGATTAAAAATACGATTTGGGCATCTTTTAACCGGCCAGGACAAGACACTAAAAACATTAGACGATCAAATCGATTTTTCCAAGGCCCCTTGATTAAAAATTAGTGTTTTTAATACAGCCATGGTACTCAAGATTGAATTTTAAAATGCAATTTGTTTTTGAGCGAATATGTCAAAAGTTGACATATGATATGTCATTCGATTCAGAATATAATTTTCTATCGAATAAAGTAAAATACCGAGGGTGCCATTTAAAAATCAAAAGTTGTAGTCATTTCCGGTGAAACAGGAAGTGACCGAAAACAATTGAATACGTCAATCAATCCTAATTTATGTCATATACTAACACACCAAATCTGTTTTTTTTATCTGAAAAAATAAAAAAGTTATAGGGGGTGAGCCACTTTTGAGACGCATCCGGTATAACACCTATACATGAGCTTAACATACAAATCAATAATACTTTTATAAAGTTAAATTGAAATCAACAAGAGATTTCCTGAAACCTGCAATGGACGGACAGCTTTTAAGGTACGGAGGAAGTGAATTGTAGCATTTTGAAGCATAATACGAAAACAATTTTCCCCACAGAATCTGCATTCGCCGTTGTTCCTTAGCTTCAACCTACTGAAGTGTTCGTTGAGGAGACTGCAGTGTCCTATTAAAAACCCCGTAACAATCCGAATATTGTTTTTACTTAAATCAAAGAAAATCTTTAATTTTTCTCGGTCGTAAGTTTTGAGGAACGTTTTCGAGTGTCAAGGGGCGTCCAGACCAGATGAGCGAGCAGTAACGAGCGCGAGCAAACATTTATTCAAATTCGCTCGTGATTTCTGCTGCTCTCGAGCACATGATCAGCTTCCGTCCAGACCTAGCGGTTATTTGTATGTTCGGCGTTGATCGGTGTGTGGCACTTCATGTTCATAATGTCGGAAAAACTTATTGCTTGTGTGTCTTTCATTGTATTTTATAAATTGTTGAAACGTCAAAAGAGAAAACGACTGCAGAGGAGATGGTGGAATAACTCTTTTTGAAAATCGAGTTTCTCATGGTGGTAACAATTTACTAAACGATGTTGAAACAGAAGATTCTGGAAAATTTAAGAACTTTTGTCGGATGTCACTTAGAGATTTTAATACCTTATTAGATTTAACTGACATGAAAAGTGATACGAATTACCGAAAAGCAATTTCACCTAGAGACAGGCTAGCTATAACCTTACGGGTTTTGGCGATTTTTGTACTCCTCTATTAGTTCTAAAACAACTTCATTCGGCCATTCCATTTTTGATATTCGATTGCAAACGTGGTAAACAAAATCCCGTCCAAACCGAACGTGCAATAGCGCGAATCTTCTTTGATGTACCGACACGGCGTGGAACAGCGTCGAGCGCGAGCAAGCAATCATTCGCTCGCTCGCAGAGCCGTCCACACCAGTTAAGCGTTCCCATTTAACATACCCGAATTTTTGCTCGCTCCTGTTCGCTCATCTGGTCTGGACGCCCCTTTAGACCATTGGAGAACTCCCATTCAAGGTTCCTCAGTTCCACCTTTTAGTGGACCATATAACACTCAATTTATAAATACATACTAGTTGAATATTAATCAGCTCCAAATTATGCTCACATGTTATTTTATGGTTAGCAAAACGCGCCTCCCCAGTGTTAAAACTTTACTTTCAACACTGAGGACAGTTTGATGTATTATGGTGAACTAGTGTTTTATTTTGTTGTTGTAACACCAACAGTTCCAACGTCAACTCTATTTAACTTAAAGAGTTTTAATGTTTTTAGTTGGTTTTCTCTGATAACACCCCAGCAACAGATGAGGCTCCTAAATTAGAAGAACGTAACGGCATTATTCAATTACATTTAATTGGCAACAGTCTAACGCAACCTGTATCTAAACAAGTAATGCTATGGTTAATTGGTCTAAAAAATGTATTTTCGCGTCAGTTACCTAGAATGCCTATAGAGTATATAACTTTGCTGCTGTTTGATCCGTAAGTCAATGGTTATTTAGGTGTATTTATATAACATTGTATTTATTCATATTTTTTTAGTAAACATCAAACTATAGCTCTAATAAAAAACGGTAATCCTATAGGAGGTATATGTTTTCGTCCATTCTTTACTCAAGGTTTTACGGAAATTGTTTTCTGTGCCCTTACTTTGCTTGAACAGATTAAGGGTTATGGTACTCACATAATGAACCATTTAAAGGATTATCATATTTCAAAGGGCATTTATCACTGCTTAACATATGCGGACAAAAATGCTATAGGTATTATCATAATATCATCTAAAATATCTGATTAAGGTATTGTTCTCTTTGGCAGGTTATTTTGAGAGACAGGGATTTTCCAAAGACATCAAATTAAGTAAAACAATCTACCAAGGATATATTAAAGAATATGAAGGTGCAACTTTAATGCACTGCGAACTCAATCCAAAAATTATTTATACCCAAGCAACAAGTGTTATAAGGAGACAGAAGAAATTTATTACACAACTCATTTATCAACAGCAAAAAACAGTTTCAAAGATTCATCCAGGAATAACATTTTTTAAAGATGGTTTGATTTTCTTAGATCTAAGTGCTCTTTACTTACTTCTGTATTATTTTTTTAGGGGTAAAAAATATTCCGATTGAATCGATTCCAGGCTTAGAAGAGACTGGATATAAACCGGCCACTAGAACAACTAGAGGTCAACATTTAGAAGAATCTCAAGATATTGATACATTAACTAGTATGCTTAAGACTGTACTAAATACCGTAAGTAATTCATGAGCAGATTTTTTATGATAAAAATTTTAAAATATATGGTTATCCATTGCTCCTATAAGATTTCTTATAGTAGGGTAGACCAAGTGGGTATTTTGGGATTTACTTAAGCGCAGCAGAATAACGTAAAGGGAGATTACTATTATTTTACAGGTGAAAAACCACGAATCATCTTGGCCTTTTAGAGTACCAGTTGACAGAGAAGAAGTTCCAGATTATTATGATCATATAAAATATCCTATGGGTAATTTTATTTTTATAAGGTTTGTAAAAAGTAACTAAAATGTTTTTTTCTAGATTTAAAAACAATGACTGAAAGACTGAAGTCAAGATATTATGTATCTAGACGGTTATTTATAGCGGATATGATGCGAATTTTCACAAATTGTAAGGTATATAACTCCCCTGAGACACCTTATTATCAGTGTGCAGTCAAATTGCAGCAATATTTTCAAACGAAAATGAAGGAAATAGGATTGTGGGATAAGTAAACAAAAAAATATAGTAAAAACCCAATATGAAAAAAGGAAAACCAGTTTAATAAAGATCTATACAACGTTACAGGATAATAGACGATAAAAATGACTAGTCAAATCCATAACTATAATATCATGAAAAGTTAAAAACATTTTAGCGTTAAACTATACAGTTACAACAATAAATAGCAGCAATATATAATAAAGTCTCGCAAATTAAAGCCATTGCTCTATTAAAATCTTATAAAAGACAATTATATCCGCATTCAGCAGTTGATCAAGGAGCAATGGCTCATAGTATAGAGATATATTTAACAAAGATAATAAAAAGAAAACAAGATTCTTTACTTAATAAATATTTTAAGTAATACAGCATGTCATGTGTATGTGTATATTAAATTATCTCGGTCAGTTGATCTATCCCAAAGTAAGTTTGAGAAAATTGAAATAGATTTAATACACTTTTTACACACTGTATGTGGAGCTACAACACTTAAGCTAAAGTTAATAAATAAACAAATTAAATGGCTTGGATTTTTTTCCTATAAACCCTGTATAATTGATTTAGGGAAAGCAAAAAGATGACAAATTTAAGTTGAATAATCATTTACTTCAGTACCTGTATAGTATATCGCAAAAAAGAAATTTATTAAGTCACTTTTTGTATAAAAATATTAATTTATACAAGCTTAGGCATGGCTTCTTCTACTGAATTAAAATGATAAAGTATTCTCTTGTGCATGTTTTTATTTTTTATATACAGGGTGCTACAAATTCGAGGCACGAGCATCGGTATCTCGGTAACCGTAATAGATAGGGACATGGTTAAATTGGGGCAAAGTTGCGCTTTAGGATGTTCACCAAGATGCCATCAAAAATGTTTTAAAAATTTCAAGGATTGGTGAGTTTTTTGGAAAAAAACGGATTTTTTTTAAAATGAATTTAATTTTTTTCTGTCGTTACTTTTAAGAAAATCAAAAAACTAATTGCACATTCTCATAGACACTTTATAAAGGTTATCTGATAGTATTTTTAGATTTTCAAATTAGCTGATAATTTGTGAGCTACTGAGGCCAACTTAATTTTTTTTAAATACGGACCTGCGTTTTTTATTTTAGATTTTGAAAGACCTCGGTCTCCTGAGTGCAATGATATGCCACACTTAATATTCTTTTGTTTCGGACATTCTGTTTTTTTAAATATTTAATCTATTCATCGTTACAATATTGATAAGTTTTCAAGCTTAACAATGACGTGGGGTAAAACATTGAATATGGAAAATCAAATGCAATAAAATAATAAAAATTAATATACAAATGAATACATTATATACTTCACGTCATTTGTAAAAGTGAAATCAATACATCTCAACATTTACAATAAAGAGTACAAAATACATTCGGAAGTATAAGAAAATTGAACGAAAAATAAATTTGTGCAATAGGGAGGGTGGGTTTAAATTTGACTAATCCTTTCGAACATGTATAGCATTTTAGAAACTAGTTTGTAGAAGTTGATTTATTTATAATAACTACGATTAATATTATGCATATTATTAGATCGCATACTGAGATTTCAAATTCACAATAAAAAAAGTTAAAAATAATATCTTTAAATTGCTGACCTGGATAGAATTTATTTGAATCTTCCAATTATTGGTTAGGTATTCGATTTTCCTTATTCAATGTTAATTAGCGTTGATCAATATTGTTGCGATGAATATAAAATCAGATGAATTAATTTAAAAAACCAGAGTCGGACTAGAAATTATTTTAGATAATAATTATTGAATAGTTTTGTTGTTAAGGTACCCAAAACAAAAAAAGTATAAAGTGTGGCATACCATTATACTCAGGAGACCGAGTTCTTTCAAAACCTGAAATAAAAAATACAGGTTCACAGGTTTAAAAAAAATTAAGTTGGCCTCTGTATCTCACAAATTATCAGTTAATTTGAAAATCTAAAAATACTATCAGATAGCCCTAATAAAGTGGCTATGAGAATGTGAAATTAGTTTTTTGATTTTCTTAAAAGTAACGATTGGAAAAAATATAATTTATTTTCAAAAAAATCCGGTTTTTCCAAAAAAACTGAGCAATCGCTGAAATTTTTAAAACTTCTAAGCATCTTGGTGAACATCCCAAAGCACAACTTTGCCCCAATTTAAACATGTTCGTATCTATTACGGTTACCGAGATACCAATGCTCGTATCTCGAATTTGTAGCACCCTGTATACACAAAAATATTACTCTCTTATTTTCTCTGAAGTATTAATATATATTTATTCAACTTAAATTTGGCAATCGAGCAATCCCTTTTGAATAAGGTCACGACAAACGTATTAAAGCATTATTTCCTATAATAAAAGTTACAAGACTAGACGGGGGATATACTATCAAATACCTAAACACTAATGTCAAATACAAAATAATTTTTCTTATCGATAGAAAAAAATCACACTTCATTTGTGCTTGGAGTAAGATTCTTAAATCTACTTAAAACTGATGTTACACCATTTTCAGATTAATTTAATTAAGTTACGAGTGGCTGAAGACGGTGTAAGACGGAGTTTTGATGCTACATACGCCAACTCATCTACGTATTTTAAGCTGCACTTTCGTTTAGAATGAATTTTGAGACTACAATATTATAAAATATAGGAATTTTGTGAATCAATTCCGACTAGAAACTACAGTTTTGAGATTTCTTTCAAATTGTTACCCACTGGCTAAATACTACAGTCGCTGTCGTCGGATAATTCCAAGGCTCCTTCTAAATTTTCGGAGAGTAGTTCTTCATTTCCTTCATCGGACGAGCTAAATATTTAAAAATAGTAAGTATGTGCTATTTTAATGTATGTTTAGCTGTATCGCAGAACAATCCAGGGAGCAGGAATATTTTTTTTTTATAAAAAATAATGATATACAATCCAGTTCTGAATAGATGATATCACATCATATTGAGTCACAATTACGTTGATGCCTCTAAAGGTTTTTTTTGGAACATAGTCTCGTGTTGTCATTAATTTTCTATCAGAAGGACTATATCAAATCACATTTTAACTGCTTGAAAGAGGCTTAAATTTAGTTTAACCTTTATTTTATACCTTAAAATAATGAAATGGAATAAAAAAAATAATGGAATAATGGAATAAAAAAAATATATAAATAATGGAATCCTTTATTTTATACCTTAAGAAACCTCTGTTTTTATTTTGTAATCGCTCATAAAAACGCTGCCCCTTTGATTATCAGTAGACGATTTTAGACATTCACGCTTTTTTTATTCTTATTTTCGCCATTGATAAAAAAATAACAACCGTTTTAAAATAATGTTTCACCATTTTTTTAGGAGCCTCTAATAAAAAACATGGTGTCCCATTTTCGTGTGTTTTATGGGGTTTCTCGTTTATAAGTAGAGATACAAGGATGCGGTTTTCACATCACTGTGCTACTTTATGAAACTAAAAATGCTACACACATATTTGTCCTAGTCCCCTTGGTTTCTGAAATACAGGGCGAAAATAAAAATGTTGCATGTTGTTTTCCACCCCTTCATATCTCGGTTATCTTATAACTTATTCAAAAGGTGAAAGCTGAGCCCCGTAAAGTTTTTCACGTAGGGTCCAATGGAACTAGATTTTCGCTGGGAGCTGTCATTCTTGAAATATGACCCAAACTGATATTTTTTTAACGGAATATTCAGTATATTACTTTTTTATTTTATTTTTCTTGTAATGAGCTTTCTAAAAATATAGTATACTAGGGTCAGCATTCCTCGTTTTGGGTGCCGAGGGGTAGGGTCAACACGCTTAGTAAAATAAGATGTACTGAATAAAGACAGAGGGCAAGTATTTTCCCAAGCGCATGGAATCTAGCGTCAGATAAAGTGGTTATGTAATAAATGCTTATTTTTACGCTCTCCGACTTACTAGATTGCCATAGCGATTCACTCCTATACAAGTAAACGCCGACCCAAGGTTTCGCTTGCCAGCAGGGTATACCGGGTGCGTTTCAAAAGTGGCTCACCCCTATAACTTTTATATTTTTTCAGATAAAACAACGATATTTGGTATGTTAGTATATGCGGTTCATAACGAGAATTTGACTCAAAATACCAAGTGTGTGGTATCAAATTATTTGTAAAAAAATGCTTTTTCCAAATATGCTAATGAGCCACCCTCGTTCCATTTGAAAAAATTGAGATATGATTGAAAATACGATTTGGGCATCTTTTACCGGCCAGGACAAGACACTAAAAAAAGACGATCAAATCTATTTTTCCAAGGCTCATTGATTAAAAATGAATATTTTTAACACAGCTATGGCACTCTAGATTGAAATTTAAAATAGAATTTGTTTTTTCAGAATGCCATTTTCTATCAAATAAAGTAAAAAAATACCGAGGGTGCCATTTAAAAATCAAGAGTTGTAGGTGTCATTTCCGGTGAAACCGGAAGTGACCGAAAACAATTGAAAACGTCAATCAATCCCAATTTATGTTCTATACTAACATACCAAATCTCGTTTTATCTGAAAAAATAAAAAAGTTATAGCCACTTTTTGAGACGCACCCGGTATACTTTGCGTATCTCTGTATCTCTTTGTATCTCTACTCATAAACGAGAAGCCTTGTAAAACACACGAAAAATGATTTACACTTATTCTAATCAATGATTATAGGAGAAGAAATATAAGCAGTATCAAATAAGTAGCGCTACATAATAACATTTATTAATAATATTAGTCGGTTAGTCAGTTAGTATGGCAGATATTACACATAACAACCCAGTATATATTAAAATATTTATTTAGTTTTGTAATTTATTATGCAGAAAATCGTTTGTTAGAACAAACATAATCACAGATAAATAATAGATGTGATGTCTAGTGACTTTCACTGAGATTTTTGTGGAACACTTCGAAAATCGTACGCTAATTGTTCGCCCAGAACTATTTTCACTGTGGCTTAAATTCTAGAACAGTTTTCGAATGTTTCGAGATCTACAAAATACATCTGAAACTACACATTTTACTACAGCAATCTTCAATTAGAACAGACGAAACTATAAACAGCAGTCAAAAAAAAATCTGGTACGTCGAGCCCGATACCATTTTTAGGACTATCTTGATGAAAATGCTATAACGAGAAATTTTAAGTATATTTTTGCCAGAAGATCTCATCTATTATTTACATGACATTACATGCTTCCTTTTATTTCATCTTACCCTATCATAGCCACACTCGTATTCCCTTGAACACAATTAATATAAATAATTAGTTTTAGATAAGAATAAAAATAATCACTATAATACATATTTCAGTTTTTAATTTCTAATTTCATCCCTTGTTAATATAATTAAAATTTCGAATCAAAAGTTAGAGTACACTTAAAATTATTAAATATAGTTTTATTTTTGAATCCATCACCAAGTTACTAGAATATGTTATATTTCAAAAAATTATATACAGGGTGAGTTTCCTACGATGTTCTCTATGGGTATCTCGGAAACTACTGGAGATAGAGTCGGTTAAATGAGGAAAGAATTGCAGTTTTGTGGGGTCAGAAACATGCGCTTTTCAGATTTTTGTAAAAGTTTATGGCTTACTAGATATTTCGAAAAAAAACAAATTTCGGCTATTTCAAAAATTGTCCCTAATTCCATTATAATCTATTTTAGACAAAAAGTTTTCAGATAAAAGTTGTAGATAATCACATCCTTAATAAGATGGTGTCCTCCGTTTTTTTCTAAAGCCTGTAATTTTTGACATATGACACAAACATATGTTTTTTTAAATGGAAACCATAGTTGGCCATGACTTCATAAAAAGCGCTATTTTTTAATCTTTTCAGCGATATAAGACTTTAATATGTTTCTTTCAAAAAATTACTGAGTTATAGCGAATTCTTATCATTTTTAAACAATTTCACTTAGACATGGGAACAAGTTCAATTGTCGTTGCTCTCAGTAATGTGAAACTGTCACATCCAAACTTTGTAAATTAAAATAAACAAAAATTGTAAATATGAATTTCTCAAATAAAGAAAAGCGTGTAAGCGTGACCGGTGAACGTTACTTACGTTTTTTAGAAAAGTTAAAGTTAGATACTCGCGCACCATTAGAGTGGTTCCAACATGACTTTCATTGTGACAATCCCCCTTATAATGAATGAAATGTTAAAAATCGTATCATAATTATGTAAACTTGCTTAATTATGCAATTGCATGGGCCTCTATCCATTTTAGATTTTTTTAACAAGGTTTAGAAAAGAACTTATGAATTTAGAGAGGCACTCGAAGAGGCGGTACGGGAGAAGTTTATTAAAGTCGACCGGTCGTTCTGTGGGAAAAGCTTGTAATTCAGTTTTAAAAAGATGCATTTTATGTACTCAAAACAATGGCGGTTTTTTTAACATTTTCTAAAATAACTTAAAGTGTATGTAGTGATATTAGTTTTTTTAAGTTTTAGCTTATGTAATGTAAATTTTAAAGGACCATTTAATAAAATATTCTGTTTTTTTATAAGGTATAAATCATAACAGAATAAGAATACCATACCGACTAAGTGAAATTTGTGAAGAAAGATAAGAATTGGCTATAACTCAGTAATTTTTCGAAAAAAAGATATTACAGCTTATTTCACTGAAAAGCTTAAAAATGGCGCTTTTTATGAAGCCATGGCCAACTATGGTTTCCATTTAAAAAACATATGTTTGTGTCATATGTTAAAAATGACAGGCTTTAGAAAAAATCGGAGAACACAATCTCACTAAGGATGTAATTATCTACAACTTTTATCTGAAAACTTTTTGTCTAAAATAGATTATAACGGAATTAGGGACAATTTTTAAAATAGCCGAAATTTGTTTTTTTTTTCGAAATATCTAGTAAGCCATAAACTTTTTCAAAAATCTGAAAGACGCATATATATGACCCCACAAAACTGCAATTCTTTCCCCATTTAACCGACTCTCTATCTCCAGTAGTTTCCGAGATACCCAATAGAGAACATCGTAGGAAACTCACCTTGTATAATATTGTAATAGATTGTTCAATATTTTCATTTGGTATAATTATTTGGGTATCTATTTTATAATAATAATTTCATTAAGCATAATACTTACAGGCTATCATTTTGATCATTTCCGCCTTCTTCTGCCACTAAAAGTTCGTACTCTTCAGCGGCGTACCTATCCCAATCAGACATCTAAAGAAAAAAACAATATTTATTAAGAGAAAGATATAACTTTATCAAGTATAAAAAAATGTTTTTAACAATTGTCCAGTGAGAGAAGGAACAATTTCGCAGGCAAATTCCTAAAATTTACAGAAAAAAATTACCTTTGAATTAAAATATCAGTTACTGTTTGTTAACAAACAACTATCACTGCCAACATTTTATTATTGCACTACAACAGAGGGCTACCTTTGAAGAAGAAGATTAAGGAAGGAGCATATCAAAAATCTTAGATCGACGGGGTCGACTTAAATTCCGGTTTATCAGTGCCGTGCTAATTTTATTCAAAACGTCTAAAAATATGATGTGGGTAGACTCAATAAATGTTGTTTTATTTTACGTTGTCAATAAATGTTGGTAGTTATTAAAATTGTTATAAAAATATACAATTTTAATAAAATATATAAGTTATAATAATTATTTATTAACACAAACATCCGATACGCTACTGAAGCAGGTAAGTCAAATTGAATTATCTAAATTCTTTGGCATCTAATCTTTGACAAGTAGTAAATAAAAGCAAAAATGCAAGGAAAAATATATAATTAGTTAATTTTAAGCGAATTTCTCATAAATTATCGGTTTACTAAACGTATGTATATTATATATAGTCACTTACTAACTAAAAGTTATTCCATTATTTAACTCGATTTTTGACCGAGATCTACCGCACACTACACAACCAACTATTTTAGAATCTTTTTCGATAAATCGCAATAATGTCAGTGTTATTCAAGTTCTGCTACAATTTCCTTCTATATTTACTAGTGATGTAAACTTTAGTTACTTTTTATGGACTCGTAACTACTACTTTTGGTAATAGGACTCGTTACTTTAGTTACTCGTTACTTTGGTACTTAGTATCGCTACTTTATAATCGTTGTTTTGTGTACAGGTTGGAACACTTGGGCTTGACGTGGAACTTCGTTACTTATTGTGCGCGGCGATCTTCGTTGCATGCTCGGTTTAACCTATTAGGGGTTTCTACTTTCTTCTAGTGTAAGGGCTTAATAGGATAATTTCAATACTCGGTATTCAAGTACTGAATAATATGTTTTTAATAATATGTATAATATTTTTATAATGATATGTTAAATAAAACTATGTACTATTAATAAAATTAAAAATAAAAGAAAACAAATCAAACAAATAAAATATGTGTATAATAAATATAAAGTATTTTTTTATATTCTCTCTCTCTCTCTCTCTCTCTCTCTCTCTCTCTCTCTTTGTATTACATTAATAAATAGGCAAACATTAAAGAGTAACATAACAAAAAATGTATATATTTTTGTTAAAATGTAAAAATATTAAAGAAATGTATATTCCTCTGTGGCGGATTCATCTCTTCAAAAAAGTCCTTTGGATTAAAGCCCCAGCAGTGTTTACTAAAAATTACTATTTTTACTTTGTAGATTTTCTTACAGTTAAGTGGCGAAATATCTATTCTCTTTTGAAGAAGAAAAATATTTATTTTTAGCTTTTTCAGATGTTAACATTTTTTGTGACTAACGTGAATCCATTTTTAATTAATATCTAAGACATATTAATCTAAATAAACAATTCTATTCTATTAATAAAAAGCGACAACAAACGGCAAAGAGGCAGGGCCGCCTCCGGGTCGGCATGAGTCAATCATAATAAATAAAAATATCATACATTTGCCATCCAAAACACCGGCCGGCGTCAAGTCAACACTTTAAACATAAACATATTGATACCAACTAGACCTACGTCGAAGTAAGGAATATTTCAGTATCGAGTTTTGTGTCCTCGGTTCGTGCATTTCTAGGGATTAGGATTACTGCCGGCGCAAAAGTAACGAATTAGCTTAGTAACGAGTAACGAGTCCTAAATTCAAATAGTAAGCGTTACTTCGAGTCCTCGTAAAGTAACTGTTACTTTGAAACGATTACTTAGAATTTTTACATCACTAATATTTACTACCTTTAAACAACTATCAGTAGTAGAATAAATAGTAACATAAAATAAGCTCAGTAAAGATTGATAAATCCACAAAATTTCAAATCTAATTCAAATGTGTCAAATGAACCGTCAAACAGAACTGTCAAGGATCCCTATCCTAGGGCCCTTTATCTGTCTACCTTGCATGAATACATGGAGAGCGTTATTATACTCCTTCCGTAATCTTTTTATTCAAAGAGGGCTACAAATATTTGATTTGGGCCTCCCTAAAATAAATTTCTGTATCCGCCCCTGAGTCTTTACCTCCATGCCATCTAAGTCGTGATCTCGCTGCGAAGCGAAGGGATCTCGCTGTTCGTGATCTAAGTATTTCTCCAGATTGAAGAATGTATCGAAAAAGATCGAAGTCATTTTACAATGTTTCAAATCACTTAGAGATATTTTCCCTGGAATTTTTGGTTTAACCATATCAAGCATTTGGCATAGACAGTCCTGCAAAACGAAAGCTTAGAAAATAATTATCTATTACAAATATAATAACATTTACCTGGAATGGTAAAGTCTCAATACCAATGCTTTCCATCCGCTGCATTTGTTCTTCATAGAAGTATTCCAGTTCATACATAGATAAAAATCCGTCTCCGTCCAGGTCCATGCAACGGAACCAATATTCGATGGCGGTAGGGTGGAGTTTGTCCTCTTCGCTCAGCAGAAACCAGACAAAATCTGTATATGACATTCTTTCTTCTTGATGGCGTTTCGTACCTCTGGTTACACAGCCACTGAATATTCTGTCAATTATTCGAGACGATAAAGCTGAAAGATAAATATACTTTGTATATATATGAAAGTTCTATTTCAAAATGGGCCCAAACACCAGACGTAGGTATTTGCTATTGCGAATATTTACTATTGTTGATTATTATTATAGGCTTGGTGCATTTCAGTTGATTTTAAAAATTCCGATCGCAGCGCTCGATACGGCAGAAATTAGAAATGCCCGACTAAAGTATTTCACGCAAAAATTCAAAATTAAACCGTTACCGGGACTACCTGAAATGTTGCACCCAACATTACTTATGTTGTTGGGTTTTGAGGAAAAAATATATTTAAAATTTTTGGGCGAAAAAAACTACCTGTCAAAAAAAATTGTATAGCCTAAAAGTAAAATTTACTGATTACCGCAACCACGTTGACATCAAGAGAAGACATGTGGCTATCTATTTCAAAAATTAAATTATTCAAATGTCATATAATAATGGCGGTAACTGTCATAGAATTGAGCGATTAAAAAAGTTTGATAAATATTTTTTTTCAAATGGAAACCCGCTTTTTTATTTCACTAATGAAAAGGATTTTCAATTCGTTACTTTTTAACTATACATGTTCCTATACCTAAAATAAATCGTTTTTAAGTTATTTAAAATTTAATTGGAAAACGTATAATTTTTCTTTATTTTATCTAGCTTCCTTTGACATTAAGTGTCAAACGGTCAGACAATTTATTTCCTTCCATCTGTCAGAAAACGAGTTATTTGAATTTCCTGTATTATAAATGCTGCCTGCCTTAAGAGTTTAAAAAGTGTATTTATAAAAATATATCTCGTATTTTCGCTCGCTGTGATATCTAATAGTGGATATTATTAATAATATTCCGTATGATTGAAAAAAAAACAGCGCAAAGTTGGCTCGGAAATGATGCTGCCTTTTGAACAAAGCGTCACAATATGATATTGCCAGATCTATTATTTTATATCACTTGACGTTTAAAGTCATAGGCTACTGGTTAAAATCAAGAAAAATATATGCTTTAAAACTAAATCTTAAATAACTTAAAAACGATTTACTTTAGGGATAGGAATATGTATAGTCAAAAAGTAACGAATTAAAAAAAACCTTTTCATTAGTGAAATAAAGAAATGGGTTTCCATTTGAAAAAAATTATTTATGATCATTTTTAAATCGCTCAATTCTATGACAGCTGCGGCCATTATTATATGACATTCGAACAATTTAATTTGGCACAGTGGCTGTGGGTAATCACTAAATTTGACGTTTAGGCATACACAACATCTAAAATTATAATTAACGTTTAAAAAATTGCATTATAGCCGAAATAGCGCCAGTTATGACCCCACTAGCAAAACCGGTGCGCAAACCAATGCGCGCTACCGTAGTTGAACTCGTCTAATAATTTTTATTAGCTTAAATGATAAATCATAAAATTAGACCTTCTGAAGATATCAAAATATTTACTTTTATTTTTATATTTAGAATTAACACAAATTATATAATTATATAAAAAAAAATTCGTCTATTCTCTATTTAAACCCATGTATTGTTTAGTCCGCTGTTTACAGTAATCTCCGATGGTGGCAGCATGGTGCTTTTTCCGGCGGAGAACGCACCAAGCCTATACAGCCTGCCTTAAGTTAAAGGCAGACTCTGACGACTAGTGTACTTGGCAAACATTTTTATTGACACACAGCGTCCGGTGATAGTTCAGCGTAGCTCCTATAATAAATAACTTAGAAATTCTGTATAGACGCCCGACGCAACCTGTATACCCTGTGTACCAATAACAAATGTTTGTTAAGTACACGAGTCGTATAAGCTGTGTAAACCAAGCAAAGAGTAGATCGCGTATTAAGTCGTAGTGAGTTACTATTAGTGGCCGTATACATGCGTCGTGCATTGTCTTGGGCGGTATAAAATTTAATTAGAAAGTAACAAAATATAGATAATACATACCATGGTCGTTGTGTCGCGTCAGATCTTGCTTATCTATAAAAAGATCATGATCCCTATCTAATTCCCAGAACTTGCAATAGATAACGTAAAAGTGCTCGTAGCTAAAATACTGAGTAATTTGGTTAATATCTTCTTCCTCTTCGAGTATCTGAATTACGTTTAACAAATTGGAGCGCCTTAGTTCGGGAACTGTGATCTTAGCGGACCAAGAACGATTCACGCAGTAATAAATACGACCAATCACGGTATGGACATATCTAGAATGGAATTCGGTGGCTTCTTTTAGGAAAGTAAGACCGGGATGAGTTTCTACGACATCTTGAACCATGGGTATAAAGTCCTCTGGTACCAGATATTGCCTACGACCACGGGTTAGTATGTAAATAAACCTGGAAGCCGCGTCGTGACATGAGGAAGCCATTCTAGAATAGAAAGAATACATTTATAATAGTTTTATATAAAATTATTATATACCCACCCTTGCCAGAATGTCATAAACTGATCAAAAGTACAGCTACCTTTATCAGCACATGCAGCTAAGTATAATGGAGTTTTCCAATACAACGGCAATTGACAAGCTTGAGTAATAGTGCCAAAGTGTTCCCTGAAATATATTAAAAATGTACGAAAATTAATAGGTAAATCGATTGACTAGGCATGCTCAATATAAAGCCCTCCGCACACGGGTCGACTTGCGATGCGGTCGACACGATTGTAATGACGTCAGAATTCCGTCGTTCGGTTTGGTTTGGTTTGGTGTCCACGTTTTCTTTCCACGCTTCGTATGGAGGTTGACCGTAAGAAGAAACATATCTTATGGGACTTTATTTAAAAAGTGGGCACCAAAATGGGAAGAATAAGGGTTCACTAAATAGCCACAGTGTCGCTAACAAGCAATAATGGAGCGAACTGAACTTAGCGGTTATAAATAAAGTGAAGAACAGGCCTTCAGAAATCACATATTTATCTCTCTCTGCAATTATTTCTCGTTCTAAAAATGGTTGGCGCTTCTTTTCAATGTAGATTTTTTTACAGCAGCGCCCTCTTAAGTCTTCCCTCTTTGATGATCACTTTTCAATACACGAAGATATTTCTCCATTAAAACGGAGCCACTATTTTTCTTCTTTTTTTAAACAAAAGAGTTTGCTTATCCTAAAAATGAGCAGTTCTAGTAATGAGAAGAGTTTTGTAACAGCTGGCGTTTATTTATTCATCCGTACATTGAAGCTTCTTTTATATGATTATAATGGTTGTTTTGCCCCTATTACTTTATGAAATATTAATCTTTAAGATTATCTCGATATCTAATGAAACCTTACCCAAAAGAGATTATAAAAAAGGTTTTAATCTACTGATTAAGCCAAGCAAGAAACACGGTGTAATGTACGCTCAGTAAGATTTTGAATCGTTTGGAAAATTGAGTGAGATACGGTGTCACAATATGAATACGGTCATTAAGACTATAAAGTTTGCATGACACAATTCTCTGCCAGAAAAAAAGAAGGGTGTAAATATGCACTGAAACAGGTAGAAGTAATACTAAATAATGTACACTAATTTACACCAAGAATACACAATTACTAGCCTGTAGCCTATGCATTACGATTAGCAAATTATTTTCTAATGCCCCTGGCCTCATCATCTTAGCAATTAATTTCAATAGCCAACAGGTTTATTGGATTTAAATATATCTATTCTGACGACATACATTAAGGTTGATTCTCACTATACCTTCCGTTTCCATTCCATATCCGTTACGTATTTTTTATTGTATTGGCGCTATACGTAAGCTTCCGTTCCGTATCAGTTCCATACTTTTTATTGTATAATTTATATCATTACGAAAGTTTTATTTTAAAAATTTGTATAGTTTGAAAAAGGTTATAATAGATTCAATTAAGAGGTGAAAGAATAAATAAATATCAGCAAAATGTTAACAAAGCTGGTACAAATGTAAGAACTTGACAACGCTGTTTCCGATACGCTTCAGTCCGTCGGCCAAAAAAATGTATGGAAGGAAAGGATATGAAAAGCAAGGGAAACGGAACAGATAGTGTGCATTGTCCTATTCATTTACATGATATAATATTTTATGTAAACGGAAGGGAAACGGAAGGTATAGTGAGAATCAACCTTTATAAGGAAACGCGCGATCCGCCCGATTCACGTGCTTTATTTCTGATCGCATGAGATTAAAAACGATGGAATCCAGAATCGTACGTTTTTAGAGAAGCACTATGCTATTTAGACGACCAGATTGCTTTGCATATCGCCTCGTGTGAGGAGGGCCTAACAGTTTTATAAAATTAATGTCTTACCTGGAAGCCCTATCACCAATACCAATGAAAGCAGCTTTAACTTTAGCTCGCAGTACTTCCAGTTGACCAGGAGGTCCAGGCTTGCCTACTGGGTAATGGAATCTTGGTATATTAACATTCCTATGGGCTCTAACATGCCTTTGAAGAGTGGTGTGTTGAAGATTAGACTGTTTTAACTGAGGCTGAAAAAAATGTCTTATGTAAATTTGGTTCAATTAATGTTTTACAATGAGATCCTTCAATTAAAAATATTCGTAATATTGATTAGAGATTTAAATTCTCTGTAAACTTTGGTGAACTGTTTTTGAGAAGTAAAAATATTTTGTAAGAAATTAGCAAAAAAAACTATAAAGGCATAAAAAAAAATTCCTTTTAAGGAAAAAATCCTTGATAAAATTCTATATTCTACATTAATTCTAGAGTAAAATGAGATCGTATTTATGCTCATTTTGGCGAGTCTAGAGGTTCACCTAGACGTCATTAAATAAAAATTGACATAAAACTTGTCAAAAATTAACACTAATTATAGAAAAATTGAGAAAAGGATAGAATGTTTCCAGACACAAAAATCTATTTCCAAAAAGATATTTTTTCTTGAATTTTAAATTTAAAAAGAATTTTTATTCAATATAAAAACCAATTACAACATTCTTAAGGCCAATTGGCCGTAAGCGCCATTAGGAAATAAAGAGAAGTACAGGCCAAGTAAATGACGTATAGGGCTTGACCTCGCCAAAGTTATCATGGATTGTCATTCCCCAGCCGTCTTCGATGCCATTTTTTTCGATCGTATGGTATAAATACAAGTTACATAAACTTGTACTAAATAATAAAATAAAATATTTAATGAATAACTTCAATGATTGCTAATAAACATTATAGAAACTTCAATGATTGCTAATAAACATTATAGAAACTTCAAGAATTACAGAAGTAAGAACAACAAGAGATAGCATCACTACTTATTTAAAAGTGTTTGATTTCGACCGCGAGACAGTATCAATGGACTTTTGATTGTAACAAAACGTAATTTTTTAATTATTGTTACCAAGTCCCGAAAGTATCGAAAGCAACGGGATTTTATAATTTCGAGTTTCGGTTCTTTCATGTCTCAAAAATATCAGGATGTTCTTTTTTTCCCATTTTTCCCGTTTCGCCGGAAAACGGAAAATTTTCAAGACAATTTTGATAAAACTTCATGATACTGAAAATAAAAATTTTAAAAAAGACAGGTAATTTAAATCGAAAAGAAACGGTACTCTTTAAAATACAATAAAAACGTGATATATCTATAAAAGGAACAAAATGTAACAAGAATTAAAAAAATTGATACTGATTTATTTCATGGTTTCACTGCCTTATTTTTTACTAAGCTATTTTTTCAGTTATGACAACCTAAGATTTCTACTAAAATCACTGGAATTGCAATAATATCAAGATACTAACTGTTGAGCATTGTTAAGTAGGTATAAAAATCGACATTATATCCATTTTCATCTATATTCCTTTATTCTACGATTAATTCTACACTATGCCACTACTTGCAGTAATAATTTAAAACTGCTTTAGTAATTCTCATTGTTAAAATTGCTAGAAAAAAAATAAAAACATCTATACTTTAAATTTTGAGAAAGACCGTTCTTTCGAAACAAAGAAACGTCTAATTAAATTAAAATTAAATAATTAATAACAATAAATTAATTAAATGCAGACCAAAGAACGTTTTTTTACGAAACGAATTGGTTTTATTTTCAGCCGAACTTACGTTTCAGTATAGCCCTATTGTATATGTATATGTAATAACAAAACTACATATTTTTATATACTTCTGCTAAAGGTGTAGGAGCAGCATAAAGAATTAGATTAGGAAATTCATTGAATAAACGGCTTTTATTGCCACCCACAGATGGGCGGTCAGCGGATGCAGACAGGTGTGACATTATGAGTTTATCCAATTATTACTCCATATTATGAATAATTATCTAAAGCGTTCCCCACAACATATGGATAAAAATAATAAACAAAAAGTATGGAATATTAAAAAGAACGCTAACTGGAGAAAAATAAACATTTCTAATAAAAAGAATTTAATTATTATTCTAAATCTCTGTAAACAGGTTACTATAAAACAAAGACGAAAAAAAATATACTCAAATGGCTTCTCTTATTTAACACTTTTGTCAATCCAGTCTAGTTCGTTGAAAAAAGAATCTTGAGTTTAGAAATGGTCTTAAACGGTTTATTTAGACATAGGCTAATGTATCGAGCTCGATAAGAGAAACAGAATTAAAATCTATTTTTATTTTTCGTCTTTTATACTGAGGGCTGGCAAATGTTAGTCTTGGGTCGAGATTTCCGTATATAAGAAGAGTACAATGCGTTTGTAATGTACTGAACAAAGAGAGAACAGTAAAAACGTTGCCAAAAGTATGAAATAAACTGAGAAACTGTGCACATTGCTAAGAGACGTGGAAGAGGATATAGCAGATTTGTCGCAGTCGACCGATCGCCGGTCGACCCAATCAGTACCTCCGTCAGTACTGAAAATTTTAGGTAAAGGTATGCATCATACGTTCAGCTTCACGATTAATTACGTCTCGTGATACTTTATTTGTTTATTTATTAACGAGTGGTTGTAATTTTCCCTGTAGCTTGAAAAATTTTAAGTTCAAGTTAGAAACACTTGCACTTTTGGTAAAAATAAGTGGAATTGAGTTGGTGTTCGACAGTGGTCGCGCTATTAGAATTCTGAATTCAAAAATCGATATCTCGAAATCCATTAGACATAAGTGATTGTACTTTTTTCAAAAACTTTCTTAATATTTCTACTATATTTTCTTCACAGACAGCATGTGAAAGTCTTTACAAATAAAAAAAGTTACACGATTGCTGAAAATTCCAATGCACTAAAAGTAAATGGATGGGTTGTTTGAAATTTTTGAATGGAAAAAACAAGCCTAACGAATTTTTCTTATTTAAACATCTTGTAAAATATTCGATCTTTAGAATAAAAAAAGTTTCAATATCTAAGTGGTTCTTTCGCAATTACTGACTTTTTCTCGTAATAAAAAAAATGACACCTTAACGATATCCTTATAATTCCAATTCAGATGCTCAGAAACATATCTAATGATTTTTTCTAGTTATCTTTTCGAAAAATAAGTCTTAAAAATAAGCGGTTTGCAATCGTGATTCTACTTTACTTGATAGGGAAAGGCGTAACGGAGAAATGTGGCAACGTAACAACAGCACACCGTCGCATTTCTCTCACTCCGACTTAATAAGATCCCTACTATGCGATTTACTTCCACACATGTAGATACCGACCCAAAAGTAACAGTTGCCAGCACGGTATGCCAAACTAGACATCCAACAAAAAAACTATTCTGTAAACAAAATTGAAAATCGCAAAATTTATTTTTTTAATAAGTTTTATTTATTTTACCATACAATCGAAAAAATCTGCGTTAAATACGGCTGGAGAATGACGATCGATAATAATTTTGGCGAGGTCAATGGCTATCATTTATAAATGAAAATAGATGATATATAAAATACCATACCAGAAATGGTTTACCCTGTATTTTACGTAATAATTAAAAAAAAACGTTTAAAGCCAGACTGCAAATTTTAAATGAAACAGCAGTTTATTTTGATGGACCAAGTACCCATCTATTTTATTTTTGAGGGTTTCTTAATGTCTCCCTTTATAAGTTTCAATGATTGATATAATAAATAATGCTATTCAATGAGATTCTATTCAATAATGCTATAATTAAATATGCTAAATTATAATAATGCTATTCACTTCAGATTATCATCGACTGCTCAATAAACAGAATAAGACATTTAAAAAAGATATTATGAAAATATCTGTACAATATGAGCGATATTTCGGGAGCAGAAAGATTACAGTTCATATATTTTATTTTGGGCCCATAATTAAAATAAAAATATCATAATTTGACATTATATAGTTGTATAACAATCGACCATTGTTGGCGTAGGTGATAAATATTTATATTCGTTTCATCAGTCAACACGAACTCTCCTCAAGTCAAGGTCGATAGACATATGCGGATGCCTACAACTTGTTCGACAAGTCGGAAGAAGATGCAATTCACTTTACGAGTTAGTGCCATGTTTTATGTATATCGTAATTAAATGTCTCTATGTATGCCTTTTACTTTATACAACTTCGCACACGATATATAGTCTTCTAAAGTAAATATTAAGGTAATTAAATTAAAGAGAGCAACAGTAATTCAATTATTTTTGTAATTTGACATGATTAATTTCAAAATCGTTACCTACACAAATCGCAATTTAATTTTGCTTTTTACAGAATGAATTCGAAAAATTACTAATTTAATTTCTATTAAAATAGTTGAATAGGTACCTATCACTTCCAGTAAAAAACTTAACTAAACTTATTATAATCTATGCATTTTAAATGACACTTCTAATAACGATTTATTAGTATAAGATGTGATCCTATGTGATAAAAATGTGATCCTACGTGGTAAAAAATATTAGAAATAAAATAAAGACCTCGACTGTTCAGCGATCGTTCAACTTTACATTATCACCATTTGTAAAATATGCGTTTTAAACGGCCTCTACACTATTCATGTTGTTGGTGGATACCAAAACTGTGACCCATGATTACGCATGGACCAGTTGCTTGGTACAAAAAAACTAGAGTAACGTACAGCAAGGCAAAACCTGTGCAAAGTACAGAGACTGGCACGAATCTGCATCACAGGTGCCATGAGAACATGCCCAACAGCAGCAATGGAGGTTATCCTAGACCTAACACCTTTGCATATTGTCGTCGGTAGTTATGCCAATGCGATAATGATTAGAAGGGTCATTGATGGAAACAGTACTGTGAGAATTTTCAGGCCAGGGGCTTGGAACACTCTCAAATAAAATTCCACTCCTCCAACTCCCAGTGGATGATATACCAAGAATTTACAACTTTGCGAAACACCTCGCTGTAGTATTGAGCAATAAATAGTATTGGAAAGACATAAACGATTGCTCAGCATGTAAAAGAGCATACCATAATGTGGTATACTGATGATTCCAAAACCAAAGCAGAGAGGGATACGAGTATGTAAGCTACTACGACTATGTAGGATGCTGGAGTAGGTCCAATTCAATCAGAAATATACGTTATCGAAAGATGCGTACCAGGTACAGCTGGTTCTAAAAAAATGAATACGACTTTTTACACATTTTTTTCGAATATTTGGGCAGTGTATATTTATGTGTCAAGTATATTGACATGTTAGGTTAGGTTAGGTTATTGTGACATTGTATAAAACAACTTTGCTTTTGACAAAGTGGCAAATAAATTTTTCAGAACGTCAGCATGACATGAGTAGAAAAATGGGGGACTGGTATCATAGAATATACTGCCCGAAATAATAAAAATAGGTTTTAAATCGTACTCAATTTTATTGGAACCAGCTGTACAATGCGTACGAAGATGCGTCAGATACTGGCTTTTGTCAAAGTCCTGAGACTGTATGATTAGTTGTAACTCGTTATAACTCAAGAAGAACCCTCTTTACCATTCGACCTTGACCTATTTCGGATATTTCGCGAATAGTGTGGCCGTTTTAGAGATGTTTTAATAAAGTCGTCACGAACGACTGGAACATTGATTTTAGTGTTGATGATTAGACTGTCATTGATATGACAACTGATTTTAGTGTTACGTTAGATATATTCATTGAGGGACTCGATTATATTTTAGTTTTATTTATTTAACATAATATAGTTAACTACATACTAACCTGGGATTTACTAATTTGTGGTACTGGCGCTCGAACTCTTTTATCTAACAGCAGGTCGCTAGGACACCTTTCAAAAATAAGAACTCTTTCCGCTACGGAACCTCTCGTAAGGAATGGTCTTACAGGGTTGGTTGAGGCTTGTCTAAGGTGTTGTCGTTGGCTGGTGGTTAATTCAGGATGAGGAACCTGTAATAAAACATTAAATTTAATATAATTACATCATTTTGGAGTATACAGTAGAATCGATTATCCGAATAGAGGTTAACGTTGGAAATATCTTTTAATAAATAGGGTCTAAATGAAAAAGTGCAAAAAGACTTTTAGAAAATAAAGTGGTATTTCAGAATCACAATCAACACTAGACAAAGAGTGTAATGACATGTGTTGTCTTATGCCTGGGCCGCTTATGTGGCAGTTACCCCAGTATCCTTCAGGCAGAAATTTACGCTATCGAAAGATGCGTTCAATTTATCTTAGATAGGAACTATCGAAAACAGGAAAATGCCATCCTATCCGATAGTCAAGCAGCACTTAACGCAATCAACTCAGTAACCATAAATACGAAGTTGGTCAAAGAATGCATACAGAAGCTCAACAAATTAGGCAAAGAAAATAAAGTCCTCCTACTCTGGGTGCCTGCTCGCCAAGGGATAGAAGGCAATGAAAAAGCAAATGATCTAGCTAGGAAAGGAGCGAACACTCCACTAACTGGACCAGAACCGTTCTGTTTTCCAAACGGGAACCAACTGAAAGCGGAACTGAAGAATCTGGAAGACTGCATCCGTAACTTGGAATGGGTGTCCTCCACCGGTCTAAGACACTCGAAAAAGTTCCTCAGAACTTACAACCGAGAAAAATGAAAGGTTTTCCTTGATTTAAGTAAAAACAATTTTCGAATTGTCACGGGGTTTCTAACAGGACACTGTCTCCTCAACGAACACCTCAGTAGGCTGAAGCTGAGAAACAACGGCGAATGCAGATTCTGTGGGGAAAATGGGGAAACACCAGAACACCTTATCACTGAGTGCGCCGAGACGACGACCATTCGTGCCATGAACTTTGGTACGGCTGATGTCGAGGATGGAGAGCTGGCCTCTGTGGAGCCGTCTCAGATACTGGCTTTTGTTAAAGCCCTGAGACTGTATGATGAATTATAACTCGTTATAACTCAAGAAAGGACACAATAGATGAACACAAATGGGAACACACGTGAGATGGTGATTAACTCCCCTCCTAAACATTCTACATTCCACATTCTATGTGGCAGTTGGCGATTTCCGAGCACTCGTCAAATACCGATTCTAGCAAATATAATTTATTCAGTTTACTCAAAATATGCCACATATTACAAATGGAAATAAGTTGTCAGTTCTTGCACATATCGCCTACTTTGGGAGATATTAGATTCCTCAGAAATTTCCCGTTTTAGATACGAGTTAGTTACATGCTCTTAATTAATAATCATCGATATTTCATCATCCTCATCCAGTCTTTTATCATGTTCACTGCTGAACATAACAGTGGTCAAGTACTTCGGTTTTGGACTGCCTGCATCCAATTTGCTTCCACTCGTTTTAGATTGTCTGAGCATTTGGTTGGTGACCGCCTTCGATTTCAATACGCCTCGTCTCGTGGTCTCCATTCGACGACCTTCTTTGTCCATTGTCGATCGGATATTATTGCCACGTGACCGGCCCAGTTCCATTTCAAGTGATTTATCCTAGTCACAGCTTTGGTCAGGCCAGTACGTTTACTTATTATATTATGTTGTTGGCCGTATTGCCGGTCTTTCAGGTACACACCCAATATTGCTCTCTCCCTGTTTTTCTATACTATTTTGATTATATTTCTGTACTGTTTAGTAAGCCTGAATGTTTCCGCGCCGTACGTGTAGGAGAACGCCATAGTCAAAGATCTTTCGCTTTAGACAAACCGGGATGTTTGATGCTGAAGCACATTTTTGCTTCAGTTTTCCATAAGCAGCCTATAGATCAAACCAAATTCTCCTATTCGTGTCTCTATGTTCTATGTTCGATTTCATAACCCAGATATTGATAGGAGGCAACCTGTTCTACTGGAGTGTTGTTCCACCATAAAGCAGTTGCTTTGATGTATTTAGTTTGTTCAGGTTTATTTCCAGCCCAATCTAGCGTGAAACGTCCAACATTCTGCATGCATCTTCTGTTCTGTCAGTAATTAAGACCACGTCATCCGCAAATCGTATGTGATTCAATTTTCCCCATCCAAATTTATAGCAGACAAATCCTAGTTGATCTGTTTGCACAGGGGTTCCAGAAGGGAAAAAGCTTCGAAAAAACTTCGACGAGATCGTGTCTCTCTCTCTCTTTAACTTCCCTCCCTATTTTAAACGTGTTTGTGTCACCGTGGACTCTGACGCTAACTGTTGCTGTTTAATATATTGTACCAATTTATTCATCCAAACTGTGCGGTTTAGATTTTAACGTGTAAGACAGTGATGTAGATAGCTTAATGGAAAATCAAATGTATTAAAAAGAGATAAAAATTGGGTCGGCACATTTCTTCTATGCGGTATTGCCGGATTTTGCATCAAAATTTCAAACCGCACAAGTAGACGTTTACGAAAAATGTTGCATTTAGGGTTGGAACATTATTTTTCACTATTAGATATTCATATTATTACAGCTGTTATATTAGATTATATTTAGTTTAGATATTTTTATCATTATTTCAGTAGTATACATGAAAATTTTTAAAATACCTTATATTTTTCTACACACATTTTCCTACAAACGTAAAAAACCGGCAACACTGTATGCCGCTTTTGATTTTGTCTCTCCGTCTGTCAACCGGTTATTTATATTATTCTCTGCCACACTCCTTAAAATCCAGACCACATAAATTGGATGACCAGCAGCCAGCAGGGTATGTTTAAATATATATTTTATCAGATCGACATTTATTATTAATTTACTATATTTTTAGAAACATTATAAATATTTTTTTATCAAAAACCCCCTTATGTTGTTTTATTCTGATTTTTTCGACTTATACAGTGGACAACTCGATATTTATTATAAAAAATGGACAGTTGAATATGTCTATAATAATAATAGCTCCCGTATATAGCGTTTAACGCCTTGGGAGTAGCAAGGTACAGCTTGCTATACTAGAGCCGTTCGGTATACAAGGAAGGTAATGTGGCTAGCACTACGCTTCAACCGCCTATTATTACCTCAGGATTGTGAATCCCAAGTACTCATTTAAGGCTGAGTCGACCTAGGTACCCAAACTATTTTTATTTTAATAAAAATAGTCGGCTGATGAAATGCCCGGTGTGGGAATCGAACCCACACCTTGAGATTGGTAGACGAGAGCCTGTACCTATACGCCACCGGGCACCTATGAATAGTCTTCTCGGCAATTCTCGAATGAATATGTCTTCTCGGCAAAATAAAAATTACCTACCCTTCTTTATTTTGCCGAAAAATACTATATTTCAATATAAAGAAATTAATAATTTTCCACTTACTTGTTGTTCAGGTCTTTTTGGCGTGGTTTTTAAACCCCATTTGTTAGTCGTACCCTCCAACGGTTTTTCAACAGGCTCCCGAGTGATGGTCTTGGAAGGTACATGACTAATAATAGGTTCCTCATTAACTACGTCACCATTCTTCAGTGCATTGATTAATCTTTTTTCTTCCAGCGCCACCTTGAACGAAAAGACATCATAATTAGTAAATCCACCTTCAATTATAATTTTTACAAAAATAGAAAACGAAAACAAAACCAAATAATCAAAAAGTCTACTTTACCTCATCAATAGTGGTCTTTGATATTTTGGACGGCAGCGTGCCATAGCCCCGTCCAGGTATCTGTTTGTCTTGCCTCACATCATTGTAGACGGTGGTATTTTTATAAGGTGTTGGGGTGGTACTGGTGACTTGCGATTTTTTTCCCACATTGTCTACGGAGATAACTCGATTTTTTAAAGGCCACGTCTGCAAACCTGTAGGACCCAGGTCGGGAGGTAAAGTCATCTCGATAGTCTCAGAGAGATGAGCAGGCTTAGGTGATATCTGGGGTTTTTGTCCCCCCGCAGGTTTACCAAGAGGTGTGGGATAGGTCTGAAATGGTGGTGAATAGTAAGTAGGTAATCACTTCGGTTTTAATCAGAAGTGATTTATTGAGACATGTATAATGAATTGTAAAAACTTGTATATTTTTGTCTATATAAATAGGTGGTGAACTAAATTGTTTTTTTTATTTGGTATGCACAAGAGGGAGAAGTTCTACGGAGAAACGTGGACCCTCTAACTTTAATCACTACATACAGTGTCACAGGTAAAGTCATATGGATTTTTTTTTATTTATTGACGTAGATGAAATTCGATTTCGGTAGTAATCTCTGCTTCGGTACAGATTAAAAATGACACAAAAAATGTAACATGTTGCTTACGGGGTTACCTATCAAATTTAACATTTAAAGTAAAAAATGTCTATAAAATTGGTTTCCTGTCCGAATGTGAAAAAACTTTATTTAAAAAAGGTGTTTCTTTACTAAAAACCTTAATGTTAAAATCAAAAACAAAGTCCAAACAGTGTTGGACGATGATCAAAAAATTCCTTATTAGTGACCGGTTTTCTACTTTGACTTTCGACTTTATATATAAAAATCATTTTTCATTTTTACATAGCTTCATACATACTACAGCAACATACCAAATTTTCTTATGTCAGTTTTAATCTAAACCAAAGCAGAGACAAAAGCAGAAGCAGAAGTCAAATTTTACATAAGTAAATAAATACAAAAAAAATCCATATATGAGAGGACTTACCATAAGTGCAAGTTTAAATAATATTAACCGAAATTGTAGCCAATTCTAACATTAGTTGTTCTATATAGTTCGTTCTTGTTTACTGTGGTAGTTATTTGTTAAGTTAGGTTTTTTTTTTATTTATGATTTATGTGATTCTTGTTATAAAAACATACCAGATGACAACAGAATCGTTTGTGCAATGACATTCGTTAAAAATTCCATTACAATCTTTTTAATCATATAAATTTAAAATTTGGGTGGAATATATATCTTATTAAAACACACATTTTCCATTAAAAATCGGTGGAAAATCGCTACCGGTTGAATATAGTTCAAGCGAAACATTTTTAATGGTGCCCTCTATATTTTTAGACATATTTACATGGTTCTTAAAATGCCCTTTTCAGTGATAAAAGTTAAGTTGTATTATGTCAAAATGTCGGCGTGGAGCGACTTTATTCCAATTTCGATATGGCAAAACCTTGAAGTCAATCACTTCAAATCGCCCACTAATATATGTGTCAAAATTGATTCTTCTGTCAATTTGGCTTACTACTTTTGCATAAATATATACGTACTAGCTTTTTCGTTTGCCAGGATCGTTCATGCATTGATTTAAATTATTGTTTAATTCTTTATAGATAGAGCTAGTGAGCCATACAGATGCACTATTTAAACTATGTTTTTAAGAGTTTTAGAGCTAATAATAAAGCAAAAAATTCCAAACTTTCAAAAAAAATTCGCGAAAAACCTCATAATCGTGTTTCTGGGGTCAAAATATACCATCGCTAAAAATAATGCGCTTATTTATGACTCGCCCTGTATATCCTTTCACAAAATCGATTTTGTTATTTTTGACTTATTACACATTTTTTACTTAAAATTTATAAAAAACCAATCAATATGCCAATTTCAAAAGCATTTTTATTCTCTTTAAATTTTTATTACGTATTTAAAAAAAAACGAAAATTTAAAAACCGTTTTTTATTTTGGAGGCATATGACTTTATGACACACTTTGTATACCGAAAATAAAACTTGATTAGACCAGTCTGAAATAAATAATCTTAATAATTCCAGAAGTTATCTAAATCAAAGTATTTCAAAGGAGTTCAATAATAATAATAATAGCTCCCGTATATAGCATTTAACGCCTTGGGAGTAGCAAGGTACAGCTTGCCATGCTAGAGCCGTTCGGTACACAAGGAAGGTCATGTGGCTAGCACTACGCTTCAACCTGTGGCTTCAACCTAACCGCCTATTATTACCTCAGGATTGTGAATCCCAAGTACTCATTTAAGGCCTAGGTACCCAAACAATTTTTATTTTAATAAAAAATAGTCGGCTGATGAAATGCCGGGTGTAAAATTCGAACCCACTACCTTGAGATTGGTAGACGAGAGCCTGTACCTCTACGCCACCGGTCACCCTAAGTTCAATTTTGGTCCCAAAATTATTTTGAAAGCATGCGTGAAAAATGAGTGTTAAATTATTTTCAAAATTTTCTACTTCCATTGACTGAAACTAATTATGTATGATTGGATAGAGGGTGGATGGCTCTCTTCCATGGCGGTTTTTGATTTCTTAATTATGTATAGGGTGTTTTAGAAATCGCGCCAAACTCGACATTTTGCAAAATCTGAAAAAGTTTTCAATTGTCGTTTTTCTTGATATATTCCATTTTTTATACTGCTAGATGTTATAGTAATGCATTTTCGTACAGTCCCCCAAACTTTTATTCTCTATTCTACTCCCTAGGGGTATAAATTTCATAAATTCACCTTATCCAAATAATTAACTCATGTTTTTTAAATGATACTTTGTGCCAATTTTTATGTGTAACTTTGTGCAACTTTACCCATTTGGTTAATGAATTTCAAAAATCTCTTCTAATTCTTTTTGCAGGATTTCATTCTGCTAGACCAGATAGTAAGCAATTTTCATACAACAAATTGTTCCGACATAATTGTACACTCTAAGAGGATGAATTTCCTAAAAATGTTTTGTGTAGTTAAAAACTTTGTTTGTGTTCCAAATTTATAGATTAAATTTACTTATTGTTTTCCCGGTGCAAATGTAGGTTAATTTTCTATCATTTTAGATGTAGTATTACGTCATCGTCCCGTTTCTCACTGAACAGACTTTAGTTCTATTTGGAAATAGTATAGTTTCGCCAATTACGGGAAATTTTTTCGATGTGGTAGCCCGTTCTTTTATAGCTTTATTAATATTATAATAATTGAAGAGTCCAGAGGAATAACTTGATAAGCGCCAGTTTCTTAATTTTAGTATTTTACAATATTATAATAGGCCTCACTGGTCCCTACAAAATCTACAAACTCTGCATAGCAATAAGGATTTAGCAATAAGTTGCTAAATCCTAGGGTATAGGCCTAGTAAAAATATAGAATACACGGGAAGAACCTGATAACCAATAGCCGTGCAGTGCTCTCCTGTATAAAATTAGTCAATTAGTGAAATGGCGCTTATCATGGTTTTCCCCTGTACCCTTCAATTACAGTTACTACAAGTGTTTGTTTTTGTAACTTGATATTAAAATAAATAAAATAATTTTAATGCCATGTGCTAAAAAAATAAAATTATATGTGGGAAAATAAATCTGAAAATACCGGACCTTCAAAACGCCATTATAGCAAGCAAGAATGTTCGCTATTGCTTCTAAGAAAAATTTGTTTCGGAGAAAATTTAGGTGTATTTACTAAATGCCGAGAGCATATACATATGTGTATATAATCAATACTAAATTATTACAAATTTCATGCATAACTGTTTATCAAACAATAATACTTTTTCTCTTAATAAAATTATGTAAACAGAAAGAAATCATCACTGACCTACTTACTGAATTACTAAAATTTATTTTTAACTAACATATAGATACGGAGTTGTTTCATTGAGATCGGAATTCTTAATTCAAGATGTCTGAATTTCGATGCTTTTACTAATTTACGACGTTATCTCATATGTTCTAATGCCAATTTCCAATTACATGATATATTATCTTTATTTATAATTAAAATTATAGTAACGTTTATAGGAAAGATTACTAAAAACTTTGGTTTATTTTCACCTGTATAATGTAAGTAATAATTGTTACAGAATGCTGTCAGTTTATAGATCTTTATGTTCATGATGATGCAGTCTTCATTTAAGAATGTTGAAAAATAAATAGACCACAAATAGTATTTTTTTATACCAAAAAAACAGCTCTGCAATAATTGAAAATCTACAATTATTAGTAATATTATACGCGAAAGTATATATGTATACAGATTGCTAACTGAAAACGCTATGACCAATCAGAGCACCGTCGGACCAACGTATCAACGTATAACGGATGCAAGAAAATCAAGCTTAATGCCAAAAATACCAAATAATTCCAACTAATACCAGTAATACCACGAATAATGCCAAAAATGACAACTAATGTCACTAACACCACGACTAAAGCTTGATTTTTATGCATCCGTTATCCGACGATACGATGATACGATATTAATTTTATTGGTTAAATTTAAAGACTCCGATTGGTTGGAAATTGTTAACCAATCGAAGTCTTTAAATTCAACCAATAAAATTAATATCGTATCATCGTATCGTCGGGCAACGGATGCATGAAAATCAAGCTTAATACCACTAATGCCAAATAATGCCAAATACATACACCAAAATACACCAGCGGTTTACCCCTCGTAAAATTTATAATACTGCCTAGTGAACGCTACAATTAAAATACCAGCAAAAATATGAATTTGTCATTGTCAAATGCGATGTCCATTTTGTTCACAAGAATTTGTGTTGTTTGGAAAGGGTGGTTAATTTTTTTTCTGAATTGAAATGATCTAGAAAACAATTAGTTGTACTGAGAATAGTATTCGCAGTGTATGACTTGTTTGCTGTTCATTACTCGATCTCGATCATTCTCAGGCCTCGCTCTCATACCACATGCATCCACAATAATTTAAGAAATAAACGAAATATTTGTAACTAAAGGAACTCTATTAAACTATAGTAATTAATAAAATAGTTACATAAACGCCCATTTACAGCTAACCAATACCCCAAATGATTGTAAAATTCACGCCTCCCACTACAAAGCTGTTAAGGGGAGAAACTTTAGCATTCCACAGAGACGTCGTTTTCAGTTCATCTAAATTTCTGTATTTAATATACCTATAAAGACAGTTTTTGAGTGTGCTACACAGGAAGAAGTCGTTCGGCGAAAGATCCTGTGTTATTTTCCTACCGTTTCCCCTAATTAATAAATATCTTTGGTTTCCCCAATAG